ACACCCCCAGGCATAAAAGGGTTAAACCGCCATTTAGGAGATCTTCCCCTTCCAGAGACACAGGCACAGCTACTGCAGAACCCCAAACTCCCGAACAGGATACCAAGTAGCACTCCAAATTCCCGAACTGGAACCTCACTAATAGCTGCTAGCAGCTGAACAGGAAAAGCACCCAAACGGCCTACACTCCTGGCAATCAATCTCTAACAGCATACAGTAAATCCCCCCAAGAACGAGACAAAGCTCTGTGTTGAGGGTCAAGCAGTGAACAGACAGAGCTGTGGGTTTATTGCTCTTATATACACATTAGTACCACCCACAGGGTTTTGGAAAACACCCAATAAACACATACAATACACTCAGACACTCCCACACAAAATCCTCCCCTCTGCCTGTGATACAATTACCTTACACAATGGGTAATGTAATTATCACCGGCAGTGAAATACAGTTTTTCCACATTATTCATAACTTTAAAAGTATGCATCACATTCACATAAAACGTACATTTTCGCTGACCGGGAACTGTGATGGCCGCATAGCGCGATAGCTCCCGCCGACGGGCATAATCATTCAACCACAAATCCAGCCACACTCGATGCACGGACCCCCAGAGACGCAGCACTCATCCTGGAACCCCCACAGCCACCAGCGGACATGGGGGGGGGGGTGGAAAAAGCATGAGCAGACGCTATCTGTGACCCCTCTGTTCCGGCAACCACGAGGCCAGACGCCATCTTCCCCACAACGGCGGGAAGACTCTGCCTCTGACTCCGACCGCAGTGAGGCAGCAGGTTCAGCCTCCACACCGATCACCAAGAGGGACCTGCAACTACTGCTGCACGAAGCTGCAGCAGACATAAAGACACATATGGCAGCAGAACTCGGAAAACAGCTACAACTCCTGAAAGCTGACCTGGCTGACCTGGGGGAGAGAACAGGACAGGTGGAGCAGAGGGAAGATGAGCTCCTTGAAAACCTCAATATGCACCAAGCTGAGCTCACTACACTGAGGAACAAAGTGGAGGAATTAGAGACAGGTATGGAAGACCTAAATAATCGCTCTAGGCGTAACAACATAAGGATTAGGGGCCTCCCCGAAACAGTCACGCCTGATATGCTGCTCTCCACGCTGCGTGAATTCATTCTTACAATCCTCCCAGAGGCAACGCCACAAGATCTCGCCATAGACCGGGCGCACAGAGCCCTCAAACCCCCTAGCCAAAACCAAATGGCGCCCTGAGACGTAATAGTACGCCCTCACTACTTTACCTTTAAAGAAGCCATCATGGCGGCCACACGAAAAACCCAGCCAAAATTTGACGCCATCACTCTTCAGTTTTACCAAGATGTCTCACCTACCACATTAATGAAACGCAGAGAGCTCAAACTCCTAACCAGTGCACTGGCACATGCAAACATACCATACCGATGGGGACACCCCTTCAAGCTACAAGTCCGCAAACAAGATAGTACCCATGTCCTTCAAGACACCTCAAAAATGGCGCCCTTCGCTGCTGCACTGGGCATCAGCCTACCCGAAGCACGAGCGCAATCCAGAAATCCAGTGGACAACGCCAGACCACAAAGGACGCCACTCTGGGAAAAACTTCGGACACCCTGGAACCGACCACCCAAGCGCCAGCAGGAAACATCGGTGCAGACTCGCGACCGGGACACCTGAACGGCATGGGACCAGTCCACCATGGACTCAACCACTTACAGGCAGAGACTATCCCAAGAGACTTGAAGGGACTTCAAAACTTTTTAATCTACTTCTGAGTGCTGGAACGCACACCACCATATCCTTTTACACTAAGTTTTTTGGCGCTACTTTAGCCATGGTTTAATAAGGTTTAAGGAGACACAAAACAGATATGGGGACACCAATACAGGGCGCTGAAAAGGGCCTAAAGCGGGGGGGAAAGGGGGGGAGGGTAAGGGACTAGAGCATCTGTAGACAAATGGGGGGAAAGGAGAGGAGGGATACACGGGATGGGAAGGGCGGGGGGGAGGCAATGGGGAGGTACGTTCCACTGGCGATTCTCACTAAATGAGACAGGACTCCCTAGCGGTTCCCCCAGGAAACGCCAAACCCAAAGCAGCTATGCTTGACCATCAGCACATACCCACTAGACCCGATAGAGAGGGCCCAGAGCGAATCCACCCCGGGGCACTGATCACAGCCCGCCTATGCCAGGAGCGGGAAGCACACAGAGACCGCACTGTGCAATGCACCACTCAGCACAGTACGGGGGTCACGAGACCCACCCAGGTTGGGACGACTCCACACACCCCACTCCATTTGCCCTGGCGCAAAACCTAAGACCAGGCATCTATTTTTTCTGTTTTTTCTGTATTATCTGTTTTTATATGTTAATCTTAGTTCAATGGTTTGAATTGGTCTCACCAGGAGGAACATGACGGACACAACATTTAGACACACGGGACACCGTCTACCACTGGATGGAGGTAATAGCGAAACACGCTCCACCACACAACCATGACAGCTAGCCTGACGTGCATCTCAATCAACTGCAAAGGGCTGAATAACCCTGCCAAACGTCACCGACTCATGAGATGGGCAAACCGCAGCAAAGCGGATATACTCCTACTACAGGAGACACACTATGCAGACACACGCCCTTGCTACTTTGCCAACTCCAACTCAGGCAAACACAATGGAGTGGCGATTCTCCTAAGGAAAACCTGCCCCCTCCAGATTGCCACCACACACAGGGACCCCGACGGCCGCTTCCTTACGGTGGCGGGCACAATAGGCCCAACCAAATATGCGATCACCTCTGTCTATGGCCCCACAACCCCGGACCCAGGATTCTGGCCTACTCTACAGGCACATCTCAGCCTACACCCAAACTACCACCAGATTATAGGCGGGGATTTCAACGCCACGATCGAGCCACAGGTAGACAGACTTAAACGACCACCACAGACTCCAGCACCGACCAGAAATGACAAACTCATGGCAGACTTCATTTCCACAACCAAACTGATAGATGTATGGAGACAGCAACACCCCTCCACACTAGACTACACCTTTTATTCCCACCCACATCAAACCTACTCGCTTATAGACTACTTCCTGGTTTCCCCATCACTACTTCTGCTCATAACAACGACCTCCCTATGCAACATAACGCTGAGATAGCGATCACGTTCCAGCCCCCACGAATCTCCAGACCCTGGTCCTGGAGACTTAACCCGACACTACTCCACGACCCACAAACCGTACAACAAATCACAACAGAACTCAAACACTACTTCGCCACAAACAAGGATACAGTACAATCCAACGCAATCATATGGGCTGCTCACAAAACGGTGATCAGGGGCACCCTTATTAGCTTAGCCACAGCACACAAAAAAAGACGCCTCGCCCACATAGAGAAAATACTAGCGACCATCAGGGACCTTGAATCCCTACATAAAGTCACCCCCACCCCGGACCTCACTACACAACTCCAACACCAACGACAGGCCCTCAACAATGCAATGGCAGTGGATGCCACCAGGGCCCTACAATGGACAAAACAAAAGTTCTACAAAAAGTCTAATAAAGCTGACACACTCCTGGCCCGCAGGCTGCGCAAGCGCATCCAGGCCAAGCAGATAACACGCATATGCACACCATCGGGCCATGACACAGAGGTACCTACCAAAATTGCGGAGGCATTCCAACACTACTTTGCAGACCTGTATGACCACTCCCCCCACCATAGGCAACGGACCTCCACCCTACAGGACCGTATCCAAACCTTTTTAGACCGAACTCACCTGCCCACACTATCAGATAGCGCGATCACCCAACTCTCCATGGAGATCACAGAGCAAGAAGTAGCAACGGCGATAGGGGCCACCAAACCCAACAAAAGCCCAGGACCGGATGGATATCCGGGCATATATTACAAAACATTCCGGGACACTCTCCTGCCCCACCTAGTACAACTATACAACACCCTGCTGCAGGGAAACCCGCTCCCCAAAGACATGCTGAAGCCAACATTTGCCTTCTACCCAAACCCAACAAACCCCTCTCAGACCCAGGCCACTTTCGGCCAATATCCCTATTGAATGTAGATATCAAACTATTCACGAAAAAACTCTCCAACAGGCTGCTACCATATATCACATCAATAATCCACCCGGACCAGGTGGACTTCATCCCCACTTGCCAAGCTAGTGACAATACCAGGAGGATGCTAGACCTGATCTGGGTGGCCACCCAACGCTCAATCCCGACACTACTCCTATCCCTGGACGCCGAAAAGGCGTTTGATGGTTACTCTGGCCATTTCTCTTTGCAACTCTGGAGAAACTCAGATTCCCCAAACCATTCCAAGAGGCCCTGCGAATGCTCTATTCTAATCCTACTGCTAACCTACTCATACCAAACACGAACCCCCCCTCGTTCTCCATCTACAATGGCACGAGGCAGGGCTGCCCCCTATCCCCCATCCTGTTTGCCCTCTCACTTGAACCACTACTGCATCTTATCCGCACCACTCCCCAGATCACAGGCATCAAAATCCGCACACAAACATACAAAGCGGCGGCATACGCCGATGACCTGATGCTGTCACTCACAGATCCGCAGAACGCACTCCCACCTCTCCTCAAACTCATAGACGACTACTCAGAGGTATCGGGATACAAATTAAATTTCGACAAAACTGAAGCACTCATGCTGACAATACCAGACAATCATAGACAGACACTACGGAACACATATGCTTTCAATTATAAGGCCTCACACATCTCGTACCTAGGGATCACACTACCAGCGGAACTACAGCGCACATACGCATTAAACTACTCACCGCTGATACAGAAAATCACGGAAGACCTGCAGAGATGGAGGGACTTGTCTTTGTCGTGGCTGGGACGCCTAGCCTCGGTAAAGATGAATCTTCTACCAAGACTGCTCAATCTTTTTCAAACCCTCCCCATCCCCATACCCAACTCGGACTTCAAATACTTACAGTCGCACATTGACAAATTCATCTGGTCGAATAAACGACCGAGAGTGAAAAGGGCGACCATGTACATCCCCAACAGGACAGGAGGCCCGGGCCTACCCCACTTACAACACTATTACCACGCAACGCAAGCCACACAGATACAACATCTACACACCCCACCGGGGAGGAAACGCTGGGTGGACTTAGAACACAACATATTTGGCTTCGACCTCCCTTCATTGTACCTATGGGTCCCACGAAACTCCCGGCCCACACCACCGCCCATACCCCCGACATTCTAATTCTATCAGCACCTGGGACAAGCTTACCCGAAAATTCCCTATCATCAACAACCCATCACCACTGACACCCATACTGTGCAATAAAGCATTTAGCCCAGGAATGAACCCAAATGATTTTGCACACTATGAACACAACAACCTTTATAGAATATGCCACTTCTTCGAGGGAGGAAAACTAATGCAATACAGACCTTCCCCAACAACACTCACCATACAACACACATGACTTTTTCAGATACATACAACTAAAGAGCTTTCTGGAACTCCCTGATAATAGGACAGCAGCCACCACCAGATGCACAACATTTGAACGAGCATGCATACACAACCCAGCCCGTAAGGGCCAGATCACTGACAACTATAGCCTGCTCATCTCTACTCACCCCCCAGGAGCGATGGCATATGTGGCAGCTTGGGAGAGGGACCTGGGGCAACCGGGTGACCCGACTGACTGGCAGGACATATGGGAGGCCACAGCATCCATCTCTATCTGTCAACCACAAAGAGCAGGCCTACAAAACTTTACTAAGATGGTATCTAACCCCCGCAAGACTATACCGAATGAGTAAGACCGACTCGGACCTCTACTGGAAACGGTGTGGGCAAAGGGGAACATACATACACCAATGGTGGCAATGCCCAAAACTAGCACCGCTATGGGCAGAGGTGGCCCGCCTGGTCTCCAACTTACTCCACACAGATATACCCTTAGACCCATGGATATGGCTCCTATCCAGACCCTGGGAACCTTTAACCAGAGCCCAAAACAAATTAGCAAACAGAACAGCTCTGGCAACAAGGAGGGCGATAGCAGAACTCTGGGGCACCCCGGAGCTCCCCACTCTATCCACAATCATCCGCAAAACCAGGGAAGCCATTGAAATGGACAGACTCTCAGCCCTAGTTCATGAAACGTCACGCCACTTTTACAAAATTTGGGACCCGTGGCTGAGCAAACCGGCGCTGATGTCGCTGAACCTCGCTACGCCGCAGCCCCTATAAATGGCCAACGGAAGCATAACAGGGTGGTGAGACCAGGGGGGGAACCCAAAAGCAAAACAAACAGGGGAGACCCTACAGGGGCCCACACCCGCAACTTAGGGGGGCCAACCCACAACAGACCCCAGCAGACACCCAAAACCCCAGCAGAGAAACACTAAAACTTCCCGTGAGCATAACACCCAACCACTGAGACCAAAGGCTGACTATGTTTATACTTGATTGTATATGTTTGTATGTTTTTACGTCGGTATTTAAGTTTCGTTGTATATTATGGATTTACCATTGTGCGACCTATCAATAACCAACCAATGCAACAGTAAAGCTGGAAACCGGCCAGACAAAATGTCTAGTCACATAACGATGTCAAACATGTTATATCATAAGACAAATGTATATACCACGGTTGCAAAATGCTTCTGAAAAATTGAAAATAAAGAATGTTTTTAAAACTTACATTTTCAGAATCAGCATACTCCAAATACAAACATATGTCAAAATCATACAAATTGATCCAGTGGTTAAAAAGATAGATCATAGTCCTTTGTGACCAAATGAAGCATGGATTTTCTGCCCAAAACCAGTTCCACAGAGTCTTCTATCCTGGAGATAATTGGGAAGTAATCCAATTATCTCCAAGGACAGAGGCCAAACTCCATTAAGCACATGGCAGTAAAAAGACAGTAAAATACAATAAAATACACACGGTTACATTTATGACATAAAATACAGACATGCAACATATCCCCAGATAGCTTAGATCTGAGCACACATTATTACTGAATGGTGCTCAGACCACACACATACAGTTCAATTGCCATGGAGCCAAAGACTTTCCCATAGTCTTTCATTATACGAATGGGCATAGCTATCTGGGGTATCACTGCTCAAACAGGGCAAGCACTGAATGACCCGGCTTTCATGTCTTTGCAGGGGAAAATTAAGCGTTTCAACATGGGGCCATAGTCTAAAAGCAGCAGGCTCCTCCAATGCACAGTGGCGAGATTGGTCTCGTCACAGGGAAGAGGCACATTTTCCCATGGAAGTCCCTTTTGAGCATGTCTTTATGCAGGGCCCATAGTCTTGGGGCAGGAGGCTGGCAATCAGGCCCCTCCAGAAGCCAGTGGCAAAGGGTAGTTCACCACATATCTTCCCTTTTGGGGGGAGACTAACCTGACCTTCTGTCAGTCAGTGCTTGAGTTAGTCGAGCAACCCACCCACAATCAACAATTCAAAGAGTAGCCCATCCACAATAAACGGTTACTGCACCTGGTGATTCCTGGTGTCCGACTCTGGTCTGTATGTCCCAGGTTGCTGAGTGGGGGTACAGCACCCTTGATCTCTCTGGTGCAACTGAGCAGCACAATGTGGGTTCTTGGGGGGCAGAGGCCAGCTGCCCCCCAAGCTGCCCCGATGCCAGCGCTTCTGCTGGGGTGGCCTGCAGGTAGTCAGGCCCTGTGCCAAGGGGAAGGGGAGGGCAAAGGGCAGCAGTGCTCTGCCCTGATGCCAGCTCTTCTGCTGGAAGGGGGTTAGTGGGTATGGTAGTCAATTCCACTAACCCCAGAGCCTAGCTGGAACTTGGCCATGGAGGGGAGATATCACTTACCTCCTCCTCCTGGTATCCCTGCAAGGTTAGTTGGGGATCTGAAAATCGGTTGCAGAGACCACAGTTCCATCTGCACCCTCTGTAGGGTAAACTGCCGCTGGGGAGAGAGGGTAATATGCTCTCTTCCCTGCAGGATACACTACTGCTGGGAAGTGAGACCGGTTGTCTCCTCTCCCTGTAACTTACCCTGCCGCTGGGGAGGGGGACCGGTTGTCTCCACTCCCTGTAAGATACACTGCCGCTGGGGAGGAGGATCGGGTATCCACAGTCAAAGTCTGCACAACTCGAGCTCGAGGCACCACGCCGCTCTGTTCTCCTCATACAACTCTTGCATGATTAGGTTGATTATCAAAAGTGGACGATCTGGGCCATACCTGGCTAGCTGCCTCTTCACTTCCTCAATGAAAGCGTCGTCCTCATAGTGACTTGTCATGTTTGCTTGGTGACCCCAGGATGCTGCTCTTCGCACTAGGGAAGCTATCCCACTGCTGCCACCACTGTAATGAATCACCTGGCACCCCGACTGGGCACCTCTGTTGACGGACGCTTCCTAGCTGACGCCGAGGACCATAAGCACCGGACACCACAACCACCGCAGAATCCACAACCACCATAGCTTAACTGGAGTCTCGCCGTCTTCCTTCCACCCTGGATCAGCCTCTGTCCTCCCGGACCGTGTGGGAAAGACCTCTCCTACAGGAGAGCGTATCAGGAACAGCTCTGTAAAGAGCTAAGTGATTAGAGCTCAGGGGAGTATACAAAGTATAGCAATCCCCACTGTGAATATAGAAGTTCCCTACAATAATGCGACAAGGCTACTTATTGAGGGTTAAGCAGGAACAGAATGAACTGAGGCTTTATTGTCTCTTTTATACAAGTTTTCCCACAAGGTTACCACCCATGTGGACCTTGTGGGGCACAGGACACAAAGTTACAAAGCCAATCAAAACAGGTTTGTATAGATAGACACTCACAGGTAATGTACACAAACCCACCCCTCTGCCTGTGAAATAATTAACAAACACAATGGACTAACTCAATTACCCACAGTCAGAAAACACACATTTTTCACAGAAAACACCCCAAAATACCACATATACCCACATCCCTGGATAGCCCTGATCTGGGTGAACAACATATACAAAAATCCCGAAGATCAGAGCAGTGGTTCAAAAGTTTTGTGGAAGTCACATATGACCGACCGCAAGCATGGTTTTCATGCCTAAAAGAGTTCCACAGATTTAGCTGTGCGGCCGGTCTATATTCTCCTCTATCCTGGAAATAATTGGCTTAAGTGGCTGTGGTAACTTAATTATCTCCAGGTACAGGAAATATCTCTAAGTAAAAACTGTTACAAAAACCACATAAAAATACATAACTTTTATAATACAATGTTTAACCTATATGTCCAACATATCCCCAGATAGCTTGGATCTGAGCGCTCAATATGTCCGAAAAGCGCCAGCAAGGGCTGATGAGAGATTGAGGAGGGACAAATCAGACAGTTTCAACTGATCTGGCAGTGTCCCTGGGACAACGCCCTGCTGGAAAACAATAGGACAGGAAAAATTTGTCAGTTTGTCACACTAAGAAATATGACTTAGGCTGTGAAGCTATTGAAGTAATGTGCTGTTTTAACCTATCTGACCAGGGCACTATGATCCATAAACATATAAAAGATTTACATGACTTAGTACAGGTTATCAAACAGGATACTCTTTGGGTATTGGGATTGGATATTTGGGCTAGGAACATGGTTGACTTTACTAATTATATAAGAAAATGTTGTACTTTTTGCTATTAGCTATATTTGTCATTATGGCCATTTTTCTAACCTTTAGATTTTTCTCATGTCTACTAACCTCTCTATGTAAAAACAAACCTGCTGTTGGTCGTACCTTAACTTGCATTCCAACTCCGACTTCGGAAGGGTTTTACGATGTTACCTCGCCTAACAAATGAAGGAACTCTCCTCCGCTGATTCTGGTAGTCTCTCAGTCCAAGGGAACTATGGTGAAGAAATAAATGAAAGCCCCACAGGCTTTGGCTAGCAGGCCTGGAAATACCTTGGACCTTTGAGTGACCCTTGTATCAAAAGAGGGGATTGTGATAGAATTTATCTTGATTCCAAGGCTCAAACTTATAGGTGTCATATAATGATATCCAATATTAAAATTGGCTAACTTGGACTCAGGAAATGCTTGATGCTTAAAACAACACTTAAGACCATATATGTCTGGTTCCGGGAGCAGATAGCCCCCACCTGAGATGTCTCTTCTCAAATCATTCTGTTCTTTCTCTTTCTCTAAACTTATTTGTTATATGTACATGACGTTCATCCCTATGTCTTATCTGTACTCCTTTTACCCTTTCACTCCCTTCTTACTACCGTCCTATGAGTATTTGCCCGTAAGCACTTACTTTTTAATGTATAAAACCCAGCTGACGAATAAAGTGACAGAGGCTTATTTTGAATACCAACAGGTGTATGGTGTCTAATTCACGCTCCTACAAGTGTACTTCTAATAATAATTTGGGCTTCCTCTGAATATAACAAAGATCAATATTTGGATCTATATCACTATACACACACACACACACACACACTATATCCACATCCTCTGCATTCACTATACCCACACACTCTGCATCCACTATACACACACACACACACACACACACACTCAGCATCCACTATACCCACACACTCTGCATCCACTATACACACACACACTGTGCATCCACTATACACACACTATCTGCATCCACTATATACACACACACAATTTGCATTCACTATACCCACACAATCTGCATCCACTGTATACATATACACACTCTGCATCCACTATATACACATACACACTATGCATCCACTATACGCACACACTCTGCATCCACTATACACACACTCTGCATCCACTATATACACACACTCTGCATCCACTATACATGCACACACTCTACATCCACTATACCCACACACTCTGCATCCACTATATACACACGCTGCATCCACTATGCACACACAATCTGCATCCACTAAACCCACAAACTCTGCATCCACTATATACACACACACACACCGCATCCACTATGCACCCACACTCTGCATCCACTATATACACACATACTCTGCATCCACTAAAAATACACTGCATCCTCTACCACAAAATATTTTGGACCGGCTCTGCTTCCAAACATCAACATTACATACAAACACAATTCTGTATTAAAACACCAACATTATATATAAACAAACCCCTGCATTCAAAAAACAACACTACAAACAAATACATGCCTGTATTAAAATGCCAACACTGAATACAAACACCCCTAAATTCACACCCACATGCTCAATACAAAAACATGCTTACATTCAAACACACAAACACTGCTCAGTGCGAAATACAACACTGCAAGGATGGGAAATTGTAGATCCCCAGCTGGCATAGCATTGTTGAAGTTGTAAAACAAATGGAGATCTACAATTGGCCACCATTGCTATAAGGGGTCCCCAAAAAAAATGATTGCACCAGTTTCCCTCTCTACATTAGTTCACCACTGTTTTTAAGGTACTTATAGGTACTTATAAAGTTATTATCTGATGTGCACTATGTTGTGTTTTATATATTTTACTAGTCTTGTACAGCTAGGGGACCGGTTGAACCCTGCAGAGAAGGTACAGGCAAGACAGCTTTTGTGGGAGAAGCAGGCAACGTTCTCCCAAGAACCCGGGTACACTACCCTAGCTGTGCACAAGGTCGAGACACCCGGACAGAACCCCCTACGACAACCCCCATACCGTATCCCTGAAGCAGTCCGAGAAGGAATGCGGAAGGAGATACAGGAGATGACCAGGCTGGGGGTTATCGGGCATTCAGACAGCCCTTGGTCCTCCCCTGTAGTCCTGGTGCCTAAGAAGGATGGGACCACCCGGTTCTGTGTGGACTACAGGTGACTTAACGAGCGGACCACCACTGACGCTTACCCGATGCCCCGGGTAGACGAGTTATTAGACCGCATTGCCAGGGGGCGCTATCTGACCACCACTGACCTGTGTAAAGGTTATTGGCAGATTCCCCTGGCCGAGGATGCTATCCCCAAGTCGGCATTCGTCACTCCATTTGGTCTGTACCAGTTTAAGGTCATGCCATTTGGGATGAAGAATGCTCCGGCTACCTTCCAGCGTACGGTGGATAGGCTCCTCGATGGCTTCCAGGAATTTGCATGTGCATACCTGGATGACATTGTGGTCTACAGTGAGTCCTGGGAAGAACACCTAGTACACATGGGGGGTGGTGCTGGACAAGATTCGGGCCGCAGGCCTGACCTTGAAACCAGACAAGTGCCATTTAGGCATGGCAGAAGTGCAGTACTTGGGTCACAGAGTAGGATGTGGGAGCCAGCGACCAGAGCCAGCCAAGGTAGAGGCTGTAGCTAACTGGCCCACACCTATCACCAAGACCCAAGTGCTGGCCTTCCTGGGGATGGCAGGGTATTACCGACGTTTTGTCCCCGACTACAGTACGGTTGCCAAGCCCTTGACTGACCTGACTAAGAAAAATTTACCTAAGCAGGTCCTGTGGTCTCCAGCTTGTGAAGCCGTGTTTCAGGCATTGAAGCAAGCTCTTGTGAATGCCCCTGTCCTGGCTGCCCCAGTCCCTAACAAACATTTTCTTGTTCATACAGATGCTTCCATGTATGGACTGGGGGCTGTGCTGAGCCAGGTCGGGGAAGATGGAGGAGAGCACCCTGTCGCATACTTAAGCAGAAAGTTACTACCCCGGGAAGTGAGTTATGCGGCAGTGGAGAAAGAGTGTTTAGCCCTGGTATGGGCACTGAAGAAGTTGAGCCCCTATTTGTACGGGCAGGAGTTTTCCCTTATAACAGACCCCAATCCCCTTGTCTGGCTTAACCGGGTCTCAGGAGACAATGGCAGACTGCTGAGGTGGAGTTTGGCACTGCAGCCCTACAACTTCACTATCAGCTACCGACCCGGTAAGCAGAATGGGAATGCGGATGGGTTATCCCGGCAAACAGACGTCCCTACTCCTTCCTAGTCCGGTCATCCCCAAGTTGACCCACCAAAGGGTCAAGCTGGGTCTGCCGGAGTGTTCCACAAGGGGGGAGCCGTGTGACAGACCAATCCGTATGAACTAGAATTGCTGTGTTTGTCTGTTTTGCCATTTGTATGAATTTCCCCATTCGTATGCCTTGTTTAAGGGAATGTATTTTTTTTGTCGAACGGAACTACCGAATGGACGGCCACCCAGAAGAGAAGTGTGCTGCTGGTTAACCTATTGATCCCAATTAGAACATTGCGGTTAACCACAGACACTTCTCAATTAAAACCGAATACAGGGTGGTCATCGTTCGTATGTCGACCACGAGGCAGCGGCCATTTTTACTATGCGAAAGACCAGCGGTGTTCGACGGTTATTTTCTGGAACTAAAAACGGACACTTTTTCAACCGAACACCACTGAAGCCGTTGACGTCCCCTTCTCAATCGACAAAAGTATGCGAATACCGGCCGTTCGAGAGGTTTAAAGGCACGAATGAACTTACCCCAGATAGCCTTCCCATGGAGTCAATCGCATACCGAAGAACTGTAATAGACTTGTTCTAGAAGTTGTTCAGGTGACTATAGTGTCCCATTAACCCCTTATGGACCAAACTTCTGGAATAAAAGGGAATCGTGACATGCCACACATGTCATGTGTCCTTAAGGGGTTAAGGGCACTCATAAAGTGCAATGGATAAAATAATATATTATCAATAAAACTAATATATTATAGGTAAACAGTGCTTCATTTAGTCATTAATTATGTAGCAAATTACTTAAAAGTGAAGATAACATTCAGTATCTTTATTTTCATGTACACAAGGGTCCATCCTGTCTCTCTGTACAATACCAGTCCCCTTTGTCCCAAAGCAAAATGACATCATACCTATCTTACAGAGGGTATAAAGTCTATGTTGGACATATTGGCACATTGTTATAAAGCTGCTCTGGGTTCATGAAACCTGTGAGATATTAATACAATTTTTTATTTTTTTTTAAACAGCTTTGATGTATTATTATTATTTGATCCACTTAAATAAATGGTAAGTTCATCAAATTTTAACCATGGGTATTTATTTGAAAATGATATGGAAATTGAAACAAATGTCAGAAACAAAGTTTGTTTTGTAATTTTTTTTTTTCTTAATATCTATTTACTATTGTGAGTTGACAGTAGATAATTGTAAATGTTAAAGTCAAAACCAGCAACAGCGATCCTGGCAATCTTCAGACTTAACAGCAACAATCTTAAAAACACAGAAACTGCTGCACATAAACAATAGCACAAAAACAAAGTACTTAATAACAATATAAATATATATTTATATAACATGTTGATATTATAATAGAGGTTCAGTGTTTATCTATGTAAGTGTCTAGATTAAAGATTATTTCACATAATATTAGATTAGATCACCCTGGAATCTGTACACCAGTCCTAGTTCATCAGAATGTGTGGTCCTTGAAATCACTGAGCAACATCCAATATTTATCTGCTAATTAGAGTAAGCAACAAGCACACCTGCATGGCTACTAGTCTAAACAGCTTTAAAAGAGAGAAACACAAATAATTCCACCTTGGACCTCACGTCGCTGCCTGCGCTCATAGTGTCAGATCCAGTGATTGGTGGGCACGGATTGTGGAATAAATAGATGTAGTGGTTATTTTTTCCTAGGTCATATTAGCTGGATATTATAACTTTGTTTACCTTGTTGAGGTTGTGAATCATTAAGATCAAATTGCTTACTGCAGTTAACTAATTTTTATATTGGGATATTAATGTAAATATTATGTGGACGCAATAAACAAACTGAAGTACGGTGCAGTCAGAGAAAAGAGGAAAATAGGAAAAATAAAGAACAAAAAAGTGGGGTGGGAGAACAAAAAAGAAAAAAAAGGAAAGGGTATGTATTGCACATTAAATAATGACAGTTGGGGAGGAGAGGAATGAAGAGAAATGGAAAATGGCTTAATGGGAAACGAGTGCAGAGGCAGTACATGCACAGGAGACATCTATAACCATTAATGGTCACTGAAGTCAGAAGTCCTCTCACTCAGTCATTATGGGTTATTGTTTCGATAGGGATGAATCTTTTTACTGATTGTATCCAAATAGAGAGTACATGATGGACCCAACTTTGTTCATGCAACTTTGTTGACTTTGTACGATTGATTATTGTCTTCTTCAAACAATGCCAGACTTTCCTTGTACAATATGTCACATTCATAATGTTATGCAAATTTCACTGTTTAATATTTACTAACAGAAAAACTAAAAATAAAGATTGTCAAAAATTGCTAATGTGCTTTATGTGGGAAGAGCGTGTTCTCTTGTTTTATTTTTTTATAAAGTGCAGATAGTAGAATTTGGCACTTTTATAAATGAACCTTGTTACATCCTCTTGGCTGTCAGTAAGACAACTGGTTCTGTTACTTCCTGGTAGTTTATTTTAGAAGAACTAACCTCAAGAGACAGACAATTGCAATGACTTCTCATTGAGCTGCATTTAGAATTGAAGAACCACATGTCCACAAGTTTGGTTGGGTTAACAAGGGGTGGGCTTGAAAAGGCTGCAGACAAGAGAACTGCAGCTTTTGCAAGTGGTTTTCATATATTTTATTAGGGCCCTCTGGACCCTGCCCTCCCCCCACACTCCCTGGCATGCAATTATGCCCTCCAAACCTGCTCAGTGGCAGAACACAGGCACTTATGTAAAAAGGACCCTGTAGCAAGAAAATGTTAGGTTTTAGGTCCGCCTCTAGCGCAAGAGTGGAGAAATGATAGATCCCCATTTTTCATTTAACTTCCACAATGCTATGTCAGCTGGGGATCTACCATTTGGCCATCCTTGTAGGGTTGTATTTGTGAACAGTGTTTGTACATTTGAATGTAACCATGTTTTTGTATAGCATGGGTGTATGCATGTAGGGGTGTATTTGTATGTACTGTTACCATTGGAATGCAGTGGTGTACAAGTATAGGACTGAACCACAAAAATATTTTGTTTATTAAAAACTATATTATGTATTGGCTGTTGATATTAGCAATGCTTAACAACTATTTAAAAAAAAAAAAAAAAACAACCATGAAAACAAGTCCACTGATGGTAATGAGGGTTAAATACATATATTGTTCACTTTAAATTTATGTGAATAATACTGGTCAGCCACAACATTAATGTTACCTGCCTAATACTGTGAAGGTGCTCCTCGTGCTGCCAAAACAGAACTGATGAGTAGAGGAATGGACTCCACAACAACTCTGAATATGTCCTGTGGTATCTGGCACCAAGACATTAGCAGCAGTCTTTTAACTCCTGCAAGTTGCAAGGTAGGACCTCCATGGATCAGTTTGCTCAATTAGATTAAGATCTGGAAGCCAAGGCAACACCTTGGACTCTTTGTCATGTTCCTCAAACCATTTCTGAACAATTTTTGCATAGTGGCAGTGTGCATTAACCTGCTGAAAGAGACCAAGGCCAACAAAATAACATCCAAAATAACATCCATACGAATGCTCGGATGCAAAGTTTACCAGCAGAACGTTGCCAAAAGCATAAGACCTCCTCCACCAGCCTGCCTTCCTTTCACAGTGCATCCTGCTGCCTTTTCTTCTCCAGGTAAACAACATACATGCACCCAGCGATCCACCTTATCTAAACTAAAACATTATTCGTCAGACAGGAAATCTTCTTCCATTGCTCCATGGTCCAGTTCTGATGCTCACGTCCCCCCCGGTGCTTTTGAGGTTCTTTTGGCACTGGACAAGGGTCATAATGGGCACTGTGACCCATCAGCAGCTATGCAACCCCACATGTAACAAACTGTGAAGCACAATTTTATCATAGCCATTATTTGGTTAATCAGCAATTTGAGCTATTGTAACTCTCGTGTGTGAGCAGACCAGATGGCCTAGCCTTTGCTCCTCACATGTATCATTTACCCTTGGGCACCCATGACAGTGATGCTGGTTCACTATTTGTCCTTTCTTGTACCATTTTTGGTATATAATAACCACTGCATACAAGGATCACCATTCAAGACTTTATTTTAGAGATGCTCTGACTTAGTCATCTAGCCATCACTATTTGGGACTTGCAAAAGTCACTAGGACTTTTTCCTTTGCCAATTTTTCCAATACTTGAATCTCACTGATTGTTTGCTTGCTGCTTAACATATCCTAGCCCTTGACAGGTTGTAACACAGAAATCAGTGTTATTCCCTTCACCTGTCAATGGTTTTAATGTTGTGGCTGATCCATGTATAGCAAGGTCTATCTACTAAGAAACAATGTTCTTACATCAGAAACAACTATAACATTTTGCACAAGAATTGTCCAAGTTTGAACAAATCTCAATTTCTGTAAGAATAGTTTATCAAGTCAACACACAATGTGTTGACTATTAATCATCTGTTTCAAATAAATATTCTGCTATATTTTTACTTTAATTAAGCATAACTTTACAGTAAGATTTTTGCCAGATTTAATTAACTACAATTTACAGTTTATTGAGTAATTATATTTGTTCACATTTTTGAGAGAGGGACACTTTTATCCCATTAGATATCACATGCAGTTTTTGTTTTATTAAAGCACTAAGAAATGTTATTACAGACTTAGATAATAATGTTAAAACTGATTTTTATTTGTTCTTTTTGTTTGTAGATGATCATGGAAATAAACCAGACAATGGTGACAGAATTCCTCCTTTTGGGATTTCAGAACCCTCCACTTTTTAACACTATATTATTTATTGCAATTCTTGTTATCTACTTTTTTACATTAGCTTTAAATTTTCTTATCATCTCACTGGTGGCAACAGTCCCGATTCTGAAATCTCCCATGTATTTCTTCCTTAGTCACTTATCCGCATCCGATATCTTGGTCACTACCAATATAACTCCTAATATGCTCCATGCTATTTTACATGTAGAAAGTACAATATCTCTTACTGGCTGCATTACACAGTTGTATTTTCACTGTCTATCATCTGCCGCAGAGACCCTTTTCCTTACAGTGATGTCCTACGACCGATATCTCGCTATATGCAAACCATTACATTACACTTCCATCATGGATATCTGGCTTTGTCTTTATTTAGCCGTTTGGTCTTGGATTTTATCATGTACAGTGTCAATACTCATTGCTTCTCTAATACATCAGCTAGTGTTCTGTGGACCTCACATAATCAACCATTATTTCTGTGATTTTACCCCTCTTCTGCAATTGTCTTGTTCAAATTCCACCATTGTAAAAATTACAGATATTGTATTATTTATACCACTTGTATTTCTCCCCTTGTCTTTCATCTTTTACACATATATTTCTATTTTTATAACGATCTCCAGAATTTCCACCAGCAGTGGAAAACTGAAGTCTTTCTCCACCTGCAGCTCTCACTTGATCGTAGTGAGTATATACTATGGAACTCTAATAACAATATACATGGCTCCTTCTAATAATTCGGCATTCAATATTAATAAGTCTATATCTCTCTTATATACAGTGGGAACTCCACTTTTCAATCCAATTATTTACTGTCTAAGGAACAACGATATTAAGAACGCAGTAAGGAAATATCTCAAGTAGAACAATACTAAATTGCATTAAATTATGTATTTTTTTTGTATAAAGTGATGTATTTTACAGACTATTTAACCATGTAACTGGTCACATAGAAGGTTGTCTGTGCACTCACAGTTGTATTAATATTCATTTCTTTTATATTCATAAATTCTAGTTATGTTATTTTTCCTATTATTTTTTAATTTTTATTTTTTATGGCGAATAATTACAAACAAATGTTAAGTTTGAAAAAATGAGAATACTTGTTCAGTTTCCATCCTCCTACATTTAGTTAGATGATCATTTCCATGTTTTCCTGAGAGAGATTGGAGCATGTAACAGGTGGATAAAAAGGTAACAGACATTCTGCTCTATAGTAATGTCACCACTAAATATAGTAATGTCACCACTAAATATAGTAAATTCACCATTGAGCAGAAGCCTTAATAATTAAGCAAATTAGTTTATCACTGCTCTAGACAGAAATAAGAGACCATCTGCTTCTGGAATCAGGAGCCCTACCTTTCAAACCCATTTGTGGCTGACCAATCACTGACTTTCCAAAGCAGCTCAATGAGATGTCTTTGTGAAGCAGGTGTTCTGTATAATTGCTGCCTCTTGAGTTTAAGCCCAACTTAGCTTTACTACAGGAAGTTTCTTGATCTAGTATCTTGATTGAAAAGCAAAGGGGAGAAGACATAGCAAAAGATTCATTTATAAAAGTGCCAATTTTCCTCTAAGATCTACACTTTTTTAAATGAATATAAGGACATACTCTGTACACAGAAAGCAGTGCTTATAGGAATGCATATTGCTAAGAACCTCTGCCTTGAAACATGAATTTCAAGGAAATTATCATTGTAAGTTCTCCAAAAGTATACCCATATTATACCCATAAAATATAGAATATAGAATTCCTCATATAAATGTTCAGTGTTAATGTAAGAACAATGTTGATGTAGTCTAATGTGATAATATTCCTTGTCAGTGAGCTGATTTAAAGGGCTAGGATATGATAGCATTGAACTATTATATATAAGGAAAGTGCAAACAGTTCTCCGGTAATCTGGTCACAGGACTGTAAAAATAAATTGATTAAGAGGAAATTGATTAACAGGCTCTTTCAATAAAGTGAGAACTCATACCTTAGTTCAACTACTCTGGTCTTAAATTTCAAATTCAAACATACCTGACCTAAAGATTATTTTCTACTATGGCTTGTTTAACCTTAAATTGAAAGTTTTCTTTCAATTCTTACTTTAATGAATAATTCTGTAAGTTTTTGAGAAAGGCAAATTGGCATAAAACACAAGGACAAATTACTTGTAGTATAGAGACTAAATATATACAATTCCTTGAAATACAGTGCTGTATAAGTGGCAAAGACCTACACCTGTAAGTGGAGCGCTAAAACAGATATAAAGCTTACCAAGCGTAACTTGATTCAGTAGTATGGTAAGCAGTACATGCCAAAAGGTATAAAAAAACAAAAGTGCAGATGGTATTTTAAAAATGCAATCCAGTGAATGATATGGCAGACAGAACACTCACATTTTAAGGAGCCTGTGTGTAGATACTGGCTCCATACTTAGGCCTGTGTGCTTATTTTGGTAGCACCACCCTTCTGCTTCAGCTTGGAGTAGTTCTCATAGATAAAACATAAAGGGAGAGCGAACCAATGTGCAGACTGTAGCAATAAAGAAAACGAGTGTAAAATAGTAAATGTGGTGCTCACCTGGTCCTGAGCCTATAGGTCCTGGCTCTGCGGTGTATAGGTATAATGCCAATTTAAAGAGGGATGGCACTGCCCATGTGGAGATTCCTGGAGGCTTCAAGAAAGGACTCGAGCAGGATATCTTGAGTAAAATAACAAATTTATTGATGTACAATGACAGATACAAATAAAAAGATAAAACAGTCCTTTAAAATAGTCCTTTAAAATGGCCAATACGCATTTCACTCTGACAGCTGATTGAGGAAGCTCTATTAAGAGTGAAACGCGTATTGGCCATTTTAAGGGTGGTGCTACCAAAATTTTGGCATGTATATACTACTGAATCAAGTTACGCTTGGTAAGCTTTAGCGCTCCACTTACAGGTGTAGATCTTTGCCACTTATACCGGACTGTATTTCACATTATCATTTTGTGGAAAAGAGGATATTTTCACATAAGTGTATAGAGCTGCTTTTAACTGTTTTTATTCACGTTTAAGCACTTATTGTTACACACATCCCTCCGTGTAAGGGGGGCAACTTTGGATTGGTATATATAGAATTCCTTGTCCAGACTTTTTTTTAAATCAAATTCAGTATAATTATTTATCTTTAAAAAAATTAGTTTCATATTTTTATTTTTATTTGTAAAGCAGAATATTCACATTTATAATAGTGCATTTATAGGGTATTAACAGCTTGATGTTTCAGTAACACATCTGAGATTGGTGATGAGAATATTTTTTACCCTTTTTGTGGCATAATTGGAAACAGCTTCAAATTATTTTTGTTCCATCCAGATTTGGATCAAGAGTAGAACTGGAGACATGTAAAACACTGATCTCTATGGATTTGATTTATGTATGGACTACTTACTGAAACATATATTTTTCTGATGAACACTGTATAGTATTAGTCTTAGAACTTTCAGTTAAACTGCAATTTATTATTCATGGAATAGTGTTTAGAACACTCTGACCGCAACGCCTCCATGTTCATAGATAAGAAGAATACGCTAGCTGTTACGTTATGCTTTTGGTCACCTGTTATTAATTACATAGACACTGTCCTCTTTTTACGTAAAAATCTTTGCTTTCCCGTTACACTGTAGAAATCAACTTACACTGACAACCTGTGTCCGCAAGTCTGATTTCCTGAGCGCTCGATATAATCTAATTTGGAAACCTTGTATATTATTCCGGTCTTTTCCCTGACAAAGATAAAGAGCCCATCAATAAACAGCAGTTGTAAAGAAAAAATATTTAACTTTGCTGAACTGGAGATCAACTGGAGATACCTTTTAAATCAGGTATTTATCCTCAAATCTTTTAATTTATTATTTTGTAGATTCTGTTACAATGTTCCATTAATCAATATCATAATGCTGATATTAAGAAGAAACTGCAATTAAAATAGATGGTATACTTTGTCCACATGTTATTTTTCTTGAAAGGACTGGTGGTGTATTCACCCTTTTTCAAGGGTGTTTTTATCACAGCTTACCTGTGTCTACTTATATTTCCCCCATACAGCTGATGGCCATCAGTAATCACACAGAGCCAACCTCGGAAGTGACGTAATCACTTCCGGCATCGGTCTGTAATCACATAGTCCACAAAACATATAAACAAAAGTATACCTATAATTGCAGTATTATACATAGACATACAAAATGGAATTAAGATATATTTATAATTCACATCACAATCTTATCCATATGCTTGCAAGTAAACTCGCACATGCGCACTCCAAATCGCTACCGTGCACCTTCACTATGTTCCTTTCTGGAAATGCCCATAGTTCTACAAGCCGCCAATGCGCGCGTGTGCAAAAAAGATAATAGATCAAGCACTACCTACTGGTAATGCTCGCTTAAATGCCAGAGTGAAAATCCAAGTAATGGATTGTAATGAGCATGTGCCCCTCATCCTGTAGAGCGCGCCTGCATACTGCAATCAATATAAACTCCCTTATTTACAACCCCAATAACAGTAAGGGGAACTAAACAAGAAAATGGGGAAAAGAAACATACTCCTAATAGCACACTATAAGTACAATTGTACTAAGAATAAAATATAAGTACCACCACCAAACATAAGTATATACGCTAAGTAAAAACACCAAAATAAAGTGCACAAATGTTTATTAATAAAATTCACTCCGTTTGGATATAAAGGCAAAAGGATAGACACCCATATAAGCCATTAGATATATTTTTGTAAATACTAAGCTGTACCTATACATAGTTAATGCAAAGCTTTTTGAAAAAGGTGACAAATCTGCTTATTGTATTCCCATAACAGGTAACACCATGTAATCCAAAATATAGTTTATCATACAATGCAATTTGTCATAATGTACAATAATCTATAAAAGAAAGGGAGCCACTCACAAGAAGTCCTGCAAGCGCGAGTTAGCAGCGAGCAGTGGACAGGAGAAGGTCACCAGCAGATCAGAGAGATCAAGAAGGGGCATATCTATGAATCAGTGAAGAAATGTAGCAGGCGCTTTATAGGTTAGGGTTAGTATTTTGAATTGGATACAGGAAGTCTGTGGTATGGGAGGAGCAACAGGTGAGAAAAATCAGCCTGGCAGCAGCATTCATTACTAATTGTAGCGGGGCATTTTTGCTTCTGGGGAGACCATCTAGGAGAGAATTACAGTAATCCATAATCCATGCAAGAGTTTATCAGAGCACGAACAAGCTCCTTGACTGCATCTTGTGTGAGAAAGGGGTGGATGCGGGCAATGTTTTTAAAGTGGAATAAACAGGTTTTTGCAACATAATGGATATGAGGCACAAAGGTGAGGCCAGAATCAAAGATAACACCAAGATAATGAGCTTCCAAAGACAGATTAATGCAAATACCATCAACTTGCAGGGAAAGTAAAGGGAAAAAATAAGAAGCTCAGTTTTAGAGAGATCGAGTTTTTGGAGAACATCCAGTCAAAGATTGAAAAAAGGTCAGCAGTGACATGTTGTAGGACTGTGGGGGAAAGATCAGGGGAGGAGTGATATATCTGGGTGTCGTCAGCATACAGATGGTAGTGGAATCCAAAGGACTTAATGAGTTTGCTAAGAGAGGCAGTATAAAGAGAAGAGAGAAGGGGACCAAAAACAGATCATTAGGGACTCCAACCAAAACAGGACGAGGGAAGGAGGTGTCATTGCAAAAGGAGACACTGAATGAACATTGAGAGATAGGAGGAGAACCACAAGAGGATAGTGTCACATAGACCGAGGGATTGAAGAGTTTGGAGAAGGAGGACATGAGCAACAGTGTCAAAGGCAGAAAAGAGGTAAAAAATAATTAGTATGGAGTTGAGGTCTTTGGATTTAGCTGTGATTAGGTTCTTTGTAACTTTAATAAGAGCAGTCTCAGTAGAATGAAGGGGGTGGAAGCCATATTGAAGAGGATCAAAAAAGGAGTTGGAATTTAAGTGAATCATACGAGTAGATACAAGTCTTTCTAGAAGCTTTAAGGAAAAAGGAAGCAGGCATATGGGACGATAGTTGGAAGGGAAAGACAGGTTGAGGGATGGCTTTTTAGGATGGATACTACAGTAGCATGCTTAAGGGGAGCAGGGACAACTCCAGATATAAGATACCAGTTGAGGATGTGTGTTAAGGATGGTACAAGGCAAGGGGAGAGAGATCTGACAGAGTGGGAAGGTACAGGATCAAGCGACAAGTGGTGGGATGAGAAGTGAGGAGAATCACAGTCACTTTTTCTTCTGTAGATGGGGAGAAGGGCCTGATGAGTAGGAAAGGTATGGGCAGTGGTGTATTCTGATTTTGTGCTGCCCTGGGCATGACCAAAACTCAGGGTCCCCCTGCCCCCTTTTCAAATTTCTCTTCCTGACAGACACACTGACTGATACAAAGTCATTGACACACACACAGTTTGACTAACACACACTTTCACTGTAACATGCACATTCACAGACATACACACTCACTCATTCACTGTTACACTCACTCACAGTTACACACACACACACTCACATTCAATGACAGACACACACACACATTCACCAACATACACACATACGCACCGACAGACACACATTCACTGACAGACATACATGCACACTCACTGACAGACACACACTGACAGAAATGCATACACACTTACTGACAGACACACACTCGCTCAGTGTCAGACACACACATTTAGACACATATACTAACTGATCAAAAAAGGAGTTGGAATTTAAGTGAGTCATACGAGTAGAGACAAGTCTTTCTAGAAGCTTTAAGGAAAAAGGAAGCAGGCATATGGGACGATAGTTGGAAGGGAAAGACAGGTTGAGGGATGGCTTTTTTAGGATGGATACTACAGTAGCATGCTTAAGGGGAGCAGGGACAACTCCAGATATAAGATAGCAGTTGAGGATGTGTGTTAAGTATGGTACAAGGCAAGGGGAGAGAGATCTGACAGAGTGGGAAGGTACGGGATCAAGCGACAAGTGGTGGGATGACAGACATACATGCACACTCACTGACAGACACAAACTGACAGAAATGCATACACACTTACTGACAGACACACACTCGCTCAGTGTCAGACACACATTTAGACACATATACTAACAGACAAACACACATTCACACTCACTCACTGACAGACAAATATATATATATATATATATATATAACAAATAAAGTAGCAGGGCACTCCTCCTTTACAAAATAATAAAAGTAAAAATAGATGCCTAGGTGCAAATCCTGCGTTATATATAATAAAAAGCAGGAGGTCTCAGGAGGGTCGAAACGTTGATTTTTTGTTATTCACAGCTCATGTATTTTTGATAATACATTAAATAAATTTGTTTCACTGAATTGAAGACCTAGTGTGCTCCCTTTATCTGCTTTTTATTATTTGGACATCAGAGTGCTGAGAGAGGGGACAAGCTTAGCTTACACCTTATATTCCAAGCCGACGGACCGTAATACAATACTTCAGGCCAGTAGTTTTCATCCTGGTTCATTGAAGAATTCACTACCCTACTCGCAATTTTTGAGAGTCTTGAGGAACAACTCAGATCCGAAAAGGGCCCAAGAACAATTGGGCATGATGTGGGAGAAATTCCGACAACGAGGCTATACGAGCCAGACATTACAAAAAGCGCTTGATCGAGGGTTGGCTACAGTTGATACTCCTGTCCCGAAAACTCAGAACAATAGATTGATCTTCCCTACGACATTTACTACATCATCCCTCAAATTCAAACAAATTATTGAGGACAATTGGAGAGTATTAAGAAATGATGTGACATTACCTCCAATATTTCAGAATCCTCCTATGGTCTGTTACAAGAGGAATAAAAATCTGAGAGATTTGCTAGTTAATACCGATCCATTTCATTGCTACTCAAAGGACAGTATTCCACAGAATTTGGGATGTTACCGCTGTCTAGGTTGTGTTACCTGTGGACACATGATCCCTGGAAAGACGTTTACACATCCTCATACAGGTGAAAGTTTTCGAATACAACATCGGCTAACCTGCACCAGTGACTTTGTGATTTACAAGCTTATGTGCCCTTGTGGCTTAACTTATATTGGAAAAACTGACCTACCATTGAGGGAACGTATCTGGAACCACAGGTCTAGTATAAGAACAGCGTATAGGGATCACAAGTCAGAGCTACCAGTAGCAAAGCACTTTCTTGAACTAGGACACACTTTGCCATCGATGAGGTTGATGGCCATTGATCATGTCCCTTCGCCTAGAAGGGGTGGCGATCGCAAGAAGATGCTTTTACAACGTGAATTGTTTTGGATAAGAACATTACAAACGGTCCATCCTGATGGATTAAATGAAAAATATTCATTATCTGTGTTCTTGTGATTTTGGCTATATATAACCTGATGTATACTGAAATAGGAGATGGGGGTTCACCCGTGGGGTTAAGCCACCTCCCTGTATATTCAGTTTTGAGGATGGTTATTTTCCCTTTTTGTTCAGACTCTGAAGTCTATACCGTTCCACATAGGATCTTAACATGGGTGCCCACCTTTTTGGGTGGAGTCACCACATGTATTCCTTATTGTGGGATCCGGTTCTATTATGATTGTCTTTAGAGGTGATAGGATCCTATTACCAGCATATTTCCGAGAATATGTTGTATTTTAGCTGGTGATACCAATATGTTTGTGCTTATGGGTTATATGTTCTGGAGTCCTGATGATATGAGGTTGGGGAATGATGCCCACCCGTGGGGATAGGCATATTCCCTTGATGCCTCATAGATGATGGCAATAAGTTTATTACCCCTGTCTGGTTTCATATATTTTTGTTTCATATATATTTATTTTTTTTGCTTGATATTTACTTGATAGGCTGTCTTAAGATATAGAGAAGGGTTGGTATAGTTTAGGGACATCGGTTTAACATATGTTTGCTCCTGTATTATAGAGGATAACTTCTCATTTTTTCAAACTCAATTTTCAATTTCCACTATAATTCCTCTATCCATTTGAATCCATGGGTATTGCCCTTTTAATGATATAATTATTATAGCATTTTTTTATATTGATGCATTAATAATAATAATTTTTTCAAGTATTTAGATCCCCATGTATTGGGCATTAATATAATATTTGGGTTTACTACCATTAACTTATGCACAATATGGTGTCTAAACTGTTCTTTATAGCCTGTTTTTCTTTGTTTTTAGTGGTTCTTTAAAGCCTGTTGTGTCTTTGTTTTTAGTGGTTGCTATGGAGCTTCTCTCCATAGCAACAACCTCCCCATGATGCCGCCAGACGGGTGGTCACGTGATGCGGTAATGACGCCGGCGCGACGTGATGACGTCATTTTGACGCACGCATTGACGTCGGCGGAACCCGCGGGAGACCCGGTCTGAGCTGACAGGGAGATGCAATTACATTGGTGATGGGTAAGTAGATTGCTAATATGTATGTTGGTATATATGTATGTTTTTACAGTGTATGTGTTAGTCCTGATGAAAGTCTGTGGTTAACAGACTGAAACGTCAATCTGTTTTTTGGATACTGATTAAAAGTTAAGTTTTATATTTTTTTTGATTGAATAAGTCCTGGGAGTGCTATCTTGTTTTATTTTTCTGTGTTTTTGCTGGACAAGCACCGGGCAAGTAGAGCTTTGAAAGTGGAGTGCAGGATTATTTTTCTTGTTATATATATGTGTATATATACTCTGTGACAGACACACACCCACTCAGTGTCAGACACACACATTCACTGACAGACATATGTATTCACTGACCGACACACACACTCACTGACAAACACATTTACACTCTCACTGACAAACACACATACACACTCACTGACAAAAACATATACACTCTCAGAGACAGACACACTGTGAAGGACTTTTATGCAATTGCCTATATGCTTCAGTTTAATCCTCTCCCTGCTATTTTAATGTCTATATTGTTCGGTTCCAAATGTTGAGAATGAATGTATTCGTGTACCGAACGGGGACCACACACCCTGGGTAGCAAGTAGCAATTAGAACACAGAGGAAACCGCAACTTAATTGCTACTAGGTGGCCGACATTCGACATACGAACACGTGGCGAGAACAAAGGATGGCGGCCATCTTAAAACTCACGAATGCGGTCAGCGGGGCTTACACATGAATTGCATGGAACTGTTTTCGGTACGGGAAACATGCGAACGCCCGGTCCCCCATGGAAGTCCTGGATGAATACGTTCCCCTGCACGAATCAAACTGGCGTTCGGTAGATGGTATCTACCGAATGAGGGGAACATTCACAGGTAACCAGCTGAACCATACGAACGGTAGTTTTCGTGTAGTTAGATGCGAACGGAGACCGGCTCTTGCTACTGATTCTATGGAACTGTAACTCGGATACCTCCACATGGCAAGCTGGTCAAACTTCCACACAATGCGACACGGAAACTACCGAACGGAAATTCGTGAGATTTGGATATGTGACTACCAGTATCCTCAGCTATCCAGGGGTGTTAAAAGTATAATTGTATGTCTTATAGAAAGTATGTTTCTGAAATTGTTATAAATTGTAATGTTTCAGGCCAGCAGATAATTGAGCTTTGTGTATTGTAGAAACTCCATTATCTAGCCTGGCCCAGAGGAGGAGTTTTGTATTGCATAAATTGTGAGTTCTGTGTGCCAGTAAATCAGTCTTGTTCCAGCATTAAGCTTTGGCTCATGTGTGGATTATTCGGCGATTCCAGGGATATTTCTGCTTATGGAATAATGAGTGCTTTTCTTTTATGGGAAGAAGGGAATGCTTGACGGGGATATTTTCTACTACCGTCACACACACACTCTCTGATAGACACATATACACTCACTAACAGACACACACACACACTAACACACTCACTAACAGACACACTTACTAACAGACACACACACTACCAGACACACACAGAAACACACTCGGGCTGGCAGGAACAGTGGAGGCGGGCAGCGAGAGAGCTCTGATCTTCCTGCTCAGCTCCCTTATGCGCCTCTCAGTGATGCTGGGGCCGGAACAACATCATCACTGCCGGCGCGCAAGGGAGGTGAGCAAGGGAGAGCTCAAGTGCTCCCTCGCCAGCCACCCACCTCAATTATCAGTGAATGCCAGCCTCCGGGGGTGGGGGGAGAGGAGGGAATGCTGAGGTGGCCAGCTGGCCTGCTCCTGGGCCCCCTTGGACAAGAGGCTGACAAGGCATTTGGGGGTGGCTTTTTTATTTAAAAATAGTTCTTTATTTGCATGAATCATTCACGTGCATGTACATACATTGTGTTGAGTGACAGATCTTTAGTGTTGCATGCAGTGAAACATTATGTACAAGTATGAAGCAATTAACAGATTAAGCTCATGTAGACTACCTTAGGCATATCATCAATTTTTCAATATATCCTGTGAGCAATCTTAAATGATTCGCTGTTTCCACCTATTACCCTTTTGGTGTCTTGTGTTGAACTATTTTATTTTTTTATTTTTTTTATAATAGTAGATATAAACATTTATTAACATTTATTAACCGTACCATTCCTGCCTGGCACTGATCTAACCAGGCTCTTCGCTTCACCACACCCATACATGACACCCTGTATTTACCTTGGGAGGGACCATTAGAGCCCACCTCCCCACTCTCCCAGAACTATCCCAGTCGTCGTCCCCTCCACCAGGGTCTGTTTTCCGTCTGCTTGAACCATTTTGGCCGTAAAGGAATTTGGAGGGTCCAGGGGGAGGGAGGGAGTGTGGTGGATCTGTCATTTATCCATTTGTGACCGTCCCTGCTTCCGTACGTTGGTGGAGTGGGTCGAGAGTGGCCAGAGTCATGTTACCCCTGTATGGTTTATCCAATGGTTTAGGTGACCACTATTGTTTGATTGTGGTCTAGGAATTTACACCAAGGTTCCCATGTGTCTGTGTAGAGTTGGTAATTTGTGGATAGAGAGGAGCAAACCTCTTCCATTGTCCTTATTCTCTCTACCTTTTGTATCCATTCCCTAATAGATGGGGGCTTTGCCCTTTTCCAATGAATCGAAATTGTTTGGGTTGCTGCAGTGAGCATGTGCCTGAGTAGCATGGTGACATTCCTCGGTAATGTGGAGGGGAGTATGCGGAATATGAAGGTTTCGGGTGAGAATGGCATGCTCACGCCTATAATGTTCTGAGTAAGTGTGGATATTCTGGACCTGAATTTTTGAATTTCCGGGCAGGACCACCAGATGAATGCCGTGTCCCCATCAGCTTGGAGGCATCTCCAGCATAGGCCGGAGGTATTCATGTAAAGCTTTCTGAGCTTGGCTGGAGTCTAGTGCCATCTAACGATCTTCTTGTAATTGCTTTCCTGTGAGGCAAGATTAGTAGAGGATTTGTGGATTTGTGAGAGAATAAGTTTCCAGCTTTCGTCCGAAAGAGATAGGTTAAGTTGTATTGTGGCTTTTGTGTGTCTTGGATTAGGGAGTACGTAGTGGTAATTTGTTTTCTTTTTAGGGTATGGTGTGGGCAAAGTTGTTCAAATCGAGTGTGTGTGCGATTGACATTGGGAAACGGATTGCCTGGAGTGACCGGAGCTAAATCAGTGTGCGTCCATCCTGAACAGCAGTTGGCCAGGCTTTTTTTTTGCTAAAGTAGCATGCAAGGCTATTGGCTGAAAGGTTAGTTTGGGGGTTGCTTGAGGTAGGCGTAGAAGAGAGCTGAAGGTATTAAAGAGATGTCTGGGATTGTGTGAGCATGAACTAACAAGATAGGAAAGGTAGGATTGTTTAGCAAGGGTAAGGACTGTGCTGTATGAACACAATATGAATTTATAATGGAGGAAGTCTGACAAAAATAAGATTGAAGGTATTGCCACCTACATGTGTGGGAGTATTAACCCACTTAGATAGGTCAATGGAAGAGGAGATAATAAAAAGGAATTTGGAGGTTAAGGGTGGGTTAATGGGAATTTTGTAAGCCTTGAAAATGAAGGAAGGAATATTAATTAAAAGGAAGTAGGGAAGCCAAGCAGAGAAATGGTCAAGGAAAAGACGAAGGGATCTAGAAGGGTGATAGATAACAGCTAAGTTAGCAGAGATGAGTTTGAACAGATGAATTTTGTGTATTTCAAAAGTGCAGAAAGATAGCAAAGGAGGTGGGCAGAGGTTTAAAGAATCAGTGGGGTGAAAACAGAAATCCTACACTGTCACCTTTACTGTCAACCTGTCTTGGGTTGTGGGTAAATTGAAGACAACAAATGGATATTGAGACAGGGGTTGCAATATCAGAGGGAGGAGTCATGTTTCTGCTAGTGGTTCATAAAGGAAATATATGCCTTTAAAATATAGATCTGTCTGGGCTATGTTGGACAGATATCCTTGACTTTTCCTACAGCACTGAACAGGAGGTATAAGAACACTGAGAACAGATAAAACATGTGGTGTCTTGCCCTTCAGTTAGTCTCTACTTAGGTTTCATAAAGATATTTAAATACACAAAAATAAGTCTTGTGTGCAAACTTCCAGTACTCCTGGGTGGCATTGCAATGACCATAGCACCCAATACATACAAAACAAGCAAAGAAAAAAGAGGTTACATAGCTACATAGTTACATAGCTGAAAAGAGACTTGCGTCCATCAAGTTCAGCCTTCCTCAGAAATGTTTTTGCTGTTGATCCAAAAGAAGGCAAAAAACCTGGTCTGAAGCGCTTCCAATTTTGCAAGAAACTAGGAAAAAATTCCTTCTTGACCCCAAAATCGCAGTCAGATGTCTCCTTGGATCAAGCAGCTATTACCCCACTAATTAGACATTATATTCCTGTATGTTATGTTTTTGCAAGTATTTATCCAATTTCAGTTAAAACATCTGTATGGACTCTGACAAAACCACCTCTTCCGGCAGAGAATTCCATATCCTTATTACTCTTACTGTAAAAAAACCTTTTCTTTGCCTTAGATGAAATCTCCTTTCTTCCAGCTTAAATGTGTGACCTTGTGTCCTATGTATAGCCCTGTTTATGAATAGATTTCCAGATAAAGGTTTGTACTGGCCCCCAATATATTTGTATAAAGTTATCATATCCCCTCTCAGGCGCCGTTTTTCCAAACTAAACAGATTTAATTATTTTAACCTTTCTTCATAACTAAAATGCTCCATTCCTTTTATCAATTTCTTGCTCGTCTCTGGACCCTCTCCAGTGCCATGATATCCTTCTTTAGAACAGGTGCCTAAAATTGCATAGCATATTCAAGGTGTGGTCTTACCAGCGATTTATAAAGAGACAAAATTTTATTTTCATCCTGACAATTTATGCCCCTATTTGTACATGACAAAATCTTACTGGCCTTAGCAACTGCAGATTGACATTGCATATTGCTGCCTAATTTGTTGTCTATAACAATTTCCAAATCCTTCTCGTGTCTGGTTCTCCCTTATTCACTACCATTTAGTATGTAAGTTGCTTGTGCATTCTTAACCCCGAAGTGCATAACTTTGGATGTCTCTATGTTAAAGGCAGGTGGGCTTACATCTAATGGCCATTGGAGCAACTAAATAACCTCCATTTATTTAAATATGCATAGGGATTTGGACCAGTGTGCAGGTAACTTTTTTGTTTGCTCATAAAGATATTTGCTCACATAAGTTATTACATGGAGAACCATAGCTTGTCGCATATCAAACTAATCCCCTGATCCCACCCACGAGGGGGTCCAGATCTTGAGCTATTAACATTAAGGTATAAAAGGTCACAGAAACACTCATAGAAATATATACTGCTCTAAATGTTTACCTTTCTCACATTTGTGTTTTGCTGTTGATCCAAAAGAAGGCAAAAAGACCCAGTTTGAAGCACTTCCAATTTTGCAACAAATTAGGAAAAAAATCCCTCTTGACCCCAGAATGGCAGTCAGATTTATCCTTGGATCAAGAAGCTATTACCCCTACAGTTGAAAAATTATATAATTGAATATTATGTGTTTTGCAAGTATGCTAGTATACTTAATCACTCTAACATCTTTGTAAAGATTAATATTCTTGTGTAGCATTATTGATACAAAATATTACTAACTAATGCTACGGAAGAAAATTAATCTTTAAAAAAGTAAAGTATTTTTCCTTACATGTAAGGATGTGATATTGTGTTTATTATTTGATGTAATTGAGACATTTCAATGTAATACTGGTTAATATGTGTGATTAGATACTGTATATATTATTCATTTTTTTTTAGATATAAAAATTCTAATTTGATCATGTGCTAGCTTTAAATACAGTAACAAGTCTGTTCTTAATGGTTAACTAAGTTGGAGAAAAGAACATATTTGCCAAGTTTAACCCCTTAAGACCGGAGGGCATACTATTACGTCCTATTTTAGGTGGCTCTAAATGCCGCCGGACGCAGTAGTATGCCCTCTGGTTTTATTTTACTTACCCGGTCGCCGGCGATCCCACGCCAGCGATCGCGGTTGGGGGGACTCCCAGTGAGCTCCCGGTGGCACGTCCGACCTCCTGCAGCCCCCCCGGCCATGTGAGAGTGAGGTCCTTGCGAGAACCTCACAATCACATGGCCGGGATAGCTGGCTGCTGCATTGCCAGCAGGGGGACTGCCTGTAATGACAGGTAGTTCCCCTGCTGGCTGAAAATAAAATAAAATTAAAGTTAATAAAGTGTAAAAAAAAAAATATATATACTTAGATCAAATATAGCATATTTTATATATATATATATATATATGATCTAAGTATATATATATATATATATATATATACACACATATACATACACACACATACACTGTCTAGGTGTATATAATCATTGTTATATATATATATTTATATCTAATATAAAAAAAAAAATTTAAATACGTTAAAAAATAAAATTAAAAAATAATTAAAAATAAATAATTAAAAAATATATAGATGTACGTTATTTTGTTCTAACTGTATTGTGGTATTAATATATATATCAGGGGTAGGCAACCTATGGCACTAGTGCCATGCATGGCACTCAAGGTGTATTTGCACGGCACTCCAGGCTGCTAGAGCCAAACAGGCTCTGGCCTATCAGGAGTCACAGTAAAACTTCAGATATCTGCTAATACGAAGAGGTGGTGAAGGACAATCCTCAATTTAAGCATTGCAGTACATAGAGTAAAGTGATCACAGATCACTTCCTCCCAGCACTTGTGAATGGGAATCCACACTGTAGTAGAGCAGCCCGCAGCTGCGGTTGCAGCTCCTGTCCTTGACCTGTATCTGGCCAGCCTGGAACCCAGGGAAGCCATCCACACTGCTAGATATACACAGAAATGCAGAATAACCCTCCCCTCATACAAATAATATGAACAGCCCACACACAAACATACACACAATACGCACAAACGTAACCCGCTAACAATCCACATACATGCACACAACCCCATATGCAGCTTCTCACATGCAATAAACCAAACAGCCCCCACACACTACCAAACACACAATGTGACATATCCATCCACACACAATTCCACAAGCAGGCCTCATACACAGCCCACATTTATATGTATCATACACAATACCATAAACTACTAATGAACATATACAATATAATAGTTTATATACGCACAAATACAATGATACAAAGCAGGTGGGTTTTTAGAGCACTGGGCCGATTTTGCGCTTGGGTACAAGCACCTAAACGGAAGAGGGTCTGCTGTGCTGGGGGATAGGATGGCTAGAAGGTTGGAGGAGATTTTAAAACTAGTGGTGGGGGAGAGGGTCAAAGCAATCTAGAAAATAGAGATAGGATGGAAAGGAGATGGGCTTTAGCTCAGAACAAAGGGGGTGGAGATGGGGGGAGGGGAAAGCTCAGAACAGAGGAGGTATGTAATATTGATAATTCACAAAAAGTACAAAAGACTTGGGAAAGAGGGACTAGTACTTCAGCAAGGGGCATCAGGTTTTTGAATGTGTTAAATGACACCTTTATGTCATAACTGGTACAAGCACCAACTAGAAAGGATGCTTGTCTGGATCTTGTTATAACAAACAATGTTGATCTTTTAACCAACGTTCAAGTAAGGGAGCATTTGGGAAATAGTGATCACAATATGGTAAATTTTGAAATAAACTCAAAAAAGCAAAAGCAAGTGGGGTATACTAAAACATATAATTTAAAAAAAGCCAATTTCAATAAGGTTAGGGCAGCTGTACAACATATCGACTGGCATAAACTCCTTAGTGATAAAAACACTGGGAATAAATGGAAACTATTCAAACAAATATTAGAAAGGTACATTTCTCAGTATGTACCATTGGGTAATAAATATAAAAGAAACAAACTAAAACCAATGTGGCTTAGTAGAGAAGTAAAACAAGAGATTAAAAATAAGAAAAGGGCATTTAAAGCATTTAAATCAGACAAATCAAAGGCATCCTTTTTAAGATATAAGGAAGCCAATAACGCTTGCAAAAAGACAATTAAAGTGGCTAAACTAGAAAATAAGAAATTGATAGCTAAAGAATGCAAAACCAACCCCAAAATGCTTTTCAAGTACATCAATTCTAAAACAACAAAAAATGAAAGTGTAGGTACACTTGAAACAGAGTTGGGTTTATTAGCTAATGAAGACCAGGAAAAAGCAGAAATTTTAAATAACTATTTTTCTTCAGTATATATTAATGAGGATCCTATGGCAAGAGATATGCAAATGATTGCTCCAAAAAACTTGCAAATAACTTGTGATTGGATAACTCGAGACAAGGTGCTACAGCTATTAAAGAAAATTAATGTAAATAAAGCTCCGGGGCCTGACGGTATTCACCCACGAGAACTTAAGGAGCTAAGTGGGGAAATAAGAGAACCTCTGTATTTAATTTCAAGATTCTTTTGTTTCAGGTGTTGTACCGGAGGATTGGAGGAAGGCAGATGTTGTTCCTATATTTAAAAAGGGTTCAAAATCCTTGCCTGGAAATTATAGACCTGTGAGCTTAACTTCTGTAACTGGGAAAATATTTGAAGGGCTATTAAGGGATAATATTCAGGAATTCATTGGGAAGAACTTTGTTATTAGCAATAATCAGCATGTTTTTATGAAACATCGGTCATGTCAAACTAACCTAATTGCATTCTCCGAAGAAGTAAGTAAAAGTATAGATCAGGGTGTTGTAGTGGATGTGATCTACTTGGATATTGCCAAGGCATTTGATACGGTTCCTCACAATAGGTTAGTCTTCAAACTAAAAGAAATTGGTCTAGATGAATATTCTTGTTCTTGGGTAGAACATTGGCTTAAGGATAGAGTACAATGAGTTGTAATTAATGGTAAATTTTCAGGCTGGACAAAAGTGGTAAGTGGTGTCCCTCAGGGTTCTGTTTTTGGACCACTTCTATTTAACATATTTATAAATGATCTTGAAATAGGCATTGAAAGCCATGTATCAGTGTTTGCAGATGACACAAAACTTTGTAAAGTAATAAAATGTGAGCAGGATATTGCTTTGCTGCAGAGAGATTTGGATAGATTGGGGACTGGGCACTAAAATGGCAGATGAAATTTAACATAGAGAAATGCAAAGTTATGCACTTCGGGGTTAAGAATGCACAAGCAACTTACACACTAAATGGTAGTGAATTAGGGATAACCACACACGAGAAGGATTTGGAAATTGTTATAGACAACAAATTAGGCAGCAATATGCAATGTCAATCTGCAGTTGCTAAGGCCAGTAAGGTTTTGTCATGTATAAATAGGGGCATAAATTCTTGGGATGAAAATATAATTCTGCCTCTTTATAAATCGCTGGTAAGACCACACCTTGAATATGCTGTGCAATTTTGGGCGCCTGTTCTAAAGACGGATATTATGGCACTGGAGAGGGTCCAGAGACGAGCTACAAAATTGATAAAAGGAATGGAGCATTTTAGTTATGAAGAAAGGTTAAAAAAATTAAATCTGTATAGTTTGGAAAAACGGTGCCTGAGAGGGGATATGATAACTTTATACAAATATATTCGGGGCCAGTACAAACCTTTATCTGGAAATCTATTCATAAACAGGGTTATACATAGGACACAAAGTCACACATTTAGGCTGGAAGAAAGGAGATTTCATCTAAGGCAAATAAAAGGTTTTTTTTACAGTAAGAACAATAAGGATATGGAATTCTCTGCCTGAAGAGGTGGTTTTGTCAGAGTCCATACAGATGTTTAAACTGAAATTGGATAAATACTTACAAAAAACATAACATACAGGGATATAATTTCTAATTAGTGGGGTAATAGCTGCTTGATCCAAGGAGACATCTGACTGCTATTTTGGGGTCAAGAAGGAATTTTTTCCTAGTTTGTGGCAAAATTGGAAGCACTTCAGACCAGGTTTTTTGCCTTCTTTTGGATCAACAGCAACAACATTTGTGAGGAAGGCTGAACTTGATGTACGCATGTCTCTTTTCAGCTATGTAACTATGTAACTATGTAACTATGTAAAACAACTGCAATAAAAATAACACAAGCAGAATACGTCAGCATACACACCTCAATTTAAAAAAATAGGAATGACACGCTACAGGACATCACCATCCCCTATCGGCACAGTGCTTCTAAAAGGTTGCCTACCCCTGATATATATATTTATATCAAAATACACGTAGAACGACATAATATATATATATCTATATACATAAATATATACGTATATATCACTATATATATATATATATATACTGTGATCCTTCTTTGCAGGTAGCACGGTCCTCTAGGGCAAAAACATGCACAGTCCTTGTAATTGCAAATGCTCCAGGCACTTTATTTGTAAGTTCACACAGGATACAGCAGTAAATGAAACAAATGTAACAGAAAACCCTATAAACAAAAACCTGGCTCGTCTGAGCACTAACTGACATTAGGTTCCCTATCTCTCAGGGTTAAACTAAACAAAACAATAGTGGTTTCACCAACCTAGAGTCTTTGTCCACTCTCAGCACTCCAGTATTTAGCCAGCCTGCTGCTTCCAGCCTTTCAGAGAGAAACAAAACATTCTCTCTTACCTGCCTAGCAGGGAGGGATTTATTCCCACTGCTGCAGCCGATTACCTACAGCTGAGCAGTAGGTTGGAGACAGTCCAAAACCCTGGGCTGGATCTAAGTCTTCCAAGAAAACCGCTAAACTGCGGAGTGGAGCACTGGCCCACCCTGCTCTCCAAATGCTCCACCCCAGGGGCCCATAACTAAATATTCATTCTGGTTACATACACAGAAACATACACTCCCCCTGGGGTTAAAAATCATATGCCTCTCTGAACAATTCTGTCGAGATATAGACTCCCTCACAGACCACCCCATTCACCTTATCACATATCCCCCTCCCCAGCTCAGACCCATCGGGGCGAGCGGCCCGGGACCATAAACAGTGAACTTGGGAGAGGCCATCCGCATTACCTTGGGCAGTTCCGGCCCTGTGAGCAATAGCAAACTGGTAAGGCTGAAGACTTAGGAACCATCTAGTCACCCTGGCATTCTTTTCTTTGTTATGCCTCATCCATGTTAAAGGAGCATGGTCCGTGATCAGTGTAAAACATCTCCCCAGTAAGTAATATCTCTAAAAAGGGATTCTAAAGCCCATTTTATCGCCAGGCATTCCTTTTCCACTACGGAGTACCTCTGTTCATGGGGATTCATTTTCCGGCTCAGATACATGACAGGATGTTCCTCTCCTTCATGTACCTGGGACAGAACCGCGCCAAGGCCCACATCAGACGCATCGGTCTGTACCACAAATGATTTAGTGAAATCCGGAGCCACCAAAACAGGGTCAGCACACAAGGCATGCTCCGCTTCCGGGGTCCACTTAACCATAATCGGGCCTTTTGCCTTAGTAAGTTCAGTCAATGGGTTGGCAATGGTAGCGTACCCAGGGATGAACCTAAGATAGTAGCCGGTTAAGCCTAAAAAAGCCCTGACTTGCTTTTTAGTTACAGGACGTGGCCAACTGGTGATGGCTGCTACTTTGCTCTCTTGTGGTTTAAGGAGCCCCCGCCCGATAGTGTACCCCAGATATTTTGCTTCTTCTAGCCCTAAAGAACACTTAGCAGGGTTAGCTGTCAAACCGGCAGCCCTTATACTATCCACAACTGCCTGAACCTTCATCAAGTGGGTTTCCCAGTCCGCACTGTGAATCACCACATCATCCAGGTAGGCGGCTGCATACTGTCTGTGGGGGTGAAGTATCTTATCCATCATACGCTGAAATGTTGCTGGGGCACCATGCAACCCAAATGGCAGCACTTTGTATTGGAACAACCCATCAGGGGTAGAAAACGCGGTTTTCTCTTTTGCTTTCTCTGTCAGGGGTACCTGCCAGTATCCCTTGGTGAGGTCCAAGGTGCTCAGATATCTGGCCTTACCTAATCGCTCTATTAGCTCATCCACACGAGGCATCGGGTAGGCATCAAACTTAGAGATATCATTTAGCTTATGGAAATCATTACAGAAACGGATTTCCCCATTTGGTTTGGGCACTAACACAATTGGGTTGTTCCACTCACTTTGTGATACTTCAATCACCCCCAACTCAAGCATCTTTTTAACCTCTGCACTAACCGCTTCACGTCTAGCCTCAGGTATCCTGTAGGGCTTCAGATTGATCTTCTTCCCAGGTTCAGTTAGGATATCATGCTTGATTATATGCGTTTTTCCTGGTATTGGGGAAAACACATCCCTATTTTTAGACACAAACTCCCTGACTTCCTGTTTCTGATGGGGGGCAAGAGTATCAGCGACATGCACCTCCGGACCCTGCTCACGAGTGGCTTGAGTAGGTTTATCTCTGGTCACGATGAGAACCTCTCATTCTACCCATGGCTTCAATAAATTTATATGATATGTCTGTTCTGGCTTCCGTCTGCCTGGCTGTCTTACTTTGTAGTTCACGTCACTGATCCGCTCAGTGATTTCATATGGCCCTTGCCAGCTGGCTAAGAATTTGCTTTCTACCGTGGGAACAAGAACTAGAACCCTATCACCTGGTTTGAAGACCCGTAGACTTGCGTTCCGGTTATAGCTTGCTTGTTGGGCTCTCTGGGCCTTTTCCATGTTTTCCCTAACTATGGGAATTACCGCTTCGATCCGCTCTTGCATTTGCGCTACATGCTCTATAAGACTGTGATGGGGGTATGCTCTTGTTCCCATGTTTCCTTGGCAACATCCAGTATGCCTCTTGGATGCCTACCATACATTAACTCGAAAGGTGAGAACCCTGTGGAAGCTTGCGGGACTTCTCTAATAGAAAACATCAGGTAGGGTATGAGATAATCCCAATTTTTTCTATCCTTGTCTATCACCTTCCGCAGCATAGCCTTTAGAGTTTTATTAAACCTCTCCACTAATCCATCAGTTTGCGGATGGTATACCGAGGTTTTCAGCTGCTTGATTCTGAGCAATTTGCACAAATCACGCATGATTTTTGACATAAAAGGGGTTCCCTGATCGGTGAGAATTTCCTTAGGTATACCCATCCTGCTAAACATCATCAGTAACTCCCTTGCAACATTTTTAGAGGTGGCATTCCGTAGAGGTACTGCCTCTGGATACCGTGTTGCATAATCCACAACAACTAAAATGTACTGATGTCCTCTTGCGGACCTAGGCAACGGCCCTATCAGGTCCATTGCTATTCTTTCGAATGGAACCTCTATGATGGGAAGGGGTACCAATGGACTACGAAAGCCCTTATGGGGAGCTTTCAGTTGGCATTCTGGGCAGGATTTACAAAACCTCTCTATTGACGAAAATACCCCTGGCCAATAGAATCGGGTCAGAATTCGTTCCCTCGTTTTTTCAAAACCAAGGTGCCCACCTAACACATGGCTATGGGCTAGTTTTAAAACAGTGTTTTGGTGAGATTGGGGAACTAACAACTGTTCTGCCTCCTCTTCCCCCTTTTTCTCTACTCGATACAGCAGATTATTTTTCACCATGAAATAAGGAAAGCTCAAGGGCTTGTCAGGGTCCGCCCTTGTACCCTCCACTATTTGCACATTCTCTCTTGCAGCTGTCAAGGACTTATCTTCCCATTGGGCTGCTCGGAAGTTACCAGGGGAGACTCTGAGATCCTGAAACTCCACTTCTTCTATAGGGTCTTCAGTATGGGGAGGTTCTACCTCATTACCCAGGCACACCAAGGGTGTCTCTTGCTCGTCACATTCTAAATCGGAGAAAGGAAAAATATTTTCTATACACTCTACTCCGGGTAGCTCCTCAGAGCACATTTTTGGATGAGCAGAGCACTTTTCCCATAGGCGGCAGAAATGGGGAAAGTCCCTCCCTAATACCACATCATACGGTAATAGGGGCACTACCCCTACAGAGCATTTAACCTCCCCTACCTTGGTGCCAAACTCAACCTCTGCAGTGGGGTATGTGTGGGTGTCACCATGTATACACACAATATCAATCACTTGTTTGGTGTCTAATTTCCCTGGCTGGAGCAGAAAACTTTTTATCAAGGTAACCTCACTCCCTGAATCAATTAGAGCTTGTACATTCTTTCCTTCCACCCTCACCATTATTAAATGCGTTGCATTAATAGCACTAGTCACCACACACATCTTTGAGCAAGTCAATACAGTCCTATGCAAAGCCCTTGTCCCTACATCACACTGCATGGGCTCTTCATTCTCTGGACAGCTGCGTGCAAAATGTCCAGGCTCGTGGCATTTAAAGCACCGGAGTTGTCCCTCAGCGTGGTCTTGTAGCCGAAATGGAGCTGGTGGGGACCTTCTGCCACCCCGGTCATATGGTTCAAGGTTCGGTACAAAGTTTTGTCTTTTGTTTCCCACTTTCCCGCTTATCCGGTTGTTAGCCGGTCGGGACTTCTGATGAGGATCAATACTGTATGGCTCCTTGGCAACCAAATATCAGGCACATCATTGCTTCTGGATCCTGAGGGTCCCCTTGGCAGACCCATTGTCGCAGTCCTGTTGGCAGGTGTCTGAGAAAACGGTCCATCACAACCATTTCCACTATCTTGGTAGCAGGGTTGCGCTCTGGCTCCAGCCACTTCTGAGCGAGCCTGAGCAATCCATACATCTGGGCTCTGGTAGGTTTACTCACATCGTATGCCCAATTATGAAATCTGTGGGCTCGAATGCGCTTTAGAATTTCAGCTTTAAGTTGCTTGTAATCCTGGGTCTGGTCAGAAGGTAGGTCTTCATAGGCTTTTTGGCACTCCCCACTCAGGCATGGAGCTAGAAGCCCCGCCCACTGGCCCAGTGGCCATCTTTCCCGGGCAGCAACCCTCTCGAAAGTGGTGAGATAAGCCTCCACATCATCTGTCTCTGTCATCTTATGCAGGAAGTCTGTGGCACGGATACGGGATCCCCTTTCACCAGGGGGGCTCCCTGCAGACGGCAATATCACTCTCTGCAACACCTCAGTAAGGGCAGCTCTATCCATCTGCTGGGCTTCCTTCAGGTTCTCAACCTGGTTAACCAGTAGACGATTTGTTTCCTGTTGTACAGCGGTTGCCTGTACCAGAGCTTTCACCAGCTCCTCCATTATAGCACCAAGCAGGTAACAGTCTTAAAGGTACGGTGCTACTTATTTGATTAGCAGGTCTGCCAAAATAAAAGTCCTAAAGCAGACTACCGAATGACTGGCACACCCACAGACCCTCAATGTGCTACAATGCCCGCATTCTCCACCACCCCATTCACCTTATCACAATACCTATATATGAATAAAAATATTTAAAAAAAATTATATATATATATATATATATATATATATATATACACATACATATATATACATATATTAATTCCACATTTATATTTATGTAATATTTTTACATAATTAGGTATCTTAATTAGTTACAATTAGCGGGACCTGCCTGACAACCCATGCCGAAAGCAAAGGGAATTTACTTTGCTAGCACTATATTTAACCCTATAACTTTCCAAGACACCATAAAACCTGTACATGGGGGGCACTGTTCTACTCAGGAGACTTCGCTGAACACAAATATTAGTGTTTCAAAACAGTAAAATGTATTACAACGATGATATCGCCAGTAAAAGTGACGTTTTTTGCATTTTTCATGCACAAACAGCACTTATTATTGCTGCAATACTTTTTACTTTTTAAGTCTCCCAAGTACAACCATGTACAGGTTTTATGGTGTTTTCAAAAGTTACAGCGTCAAATATAAGGCTTGTGTTTCATTTTTTTTCACATTATAATTTGCCAGATTGGTTAGGTTGCCTTTGAGACCCTATGGTAGCCCAAGAAGGAAAATTACCCCTATGATGGCATACCATCTGCAAAAGAAGACAACCCAAGGTATTGCAAATGGGGTATGTCCAGTCTTTGTTAGTAGTCACTTAGTCACAAACACTGGCCAAAATTGGCATTTTTTGCATTTTTCACACACAAACAAATACTAAAGCTAACTTTGGCCAATGTTTGTGACCAAACGGGTACTAAAAAAGACTGGACATACCCCATTTGCAATACCGTGGGTTGTCTGCTATTGCAGATGGTATGCCATTACGGGCTACTATACAGTCTCAAAGGCAACATAACCTATCTGGCGAATTTCAATTTCAAATGTAACGTGCTATATTTGACCCTGTAACTTCCCAAAACACCATAAAACCTGTACATAAGGGGTACTGTTTTACACGTGAGACTTTGCTGAATACAAATATGTGTATTTTATTGCAGTAAAAGCAAACAGTATTATGACATTGACAGTTAAAATGTCATGTAGAACTAAAAAAATAAAAAAAAATCTTATTTTCTCCCATTTTTTTCATATAAAATTATGTATCATAGCGAAATATTTGATATTAAATGAAAGCCCTGTTTCCCCTGAATAAAATGATATATAATAAGGGTGGGTGCATTTACTATGAAAGAGTTGAATTACGGTTGGACAGACATGTAGCGCAAATGCCAGGTTTTATTTACATTTTGTTTTGTTCACAACGTGTACATTTGGCTCCGTCCTTAAGGGATTAAAAACACCTTATTTAGTTTGTAAACAGCCCAATTCATTTTGTAAACATGTATTTTTCTAAAAGGAAAATTAACAGTAAAGAATATCAAAAGGGTTTTCTTTTCACCCCAAATTCAAAATAAAATGCAAACTATAGCTTGCTCACATTTCTTTTTGTGTGAAAGAGTTGCTCAATAAACAAGACCTGGTTTAGAGCTGACAACAAACCATTCCATCAATGAAATGTTATACTCTTAATGAGGACCTGTAACTTCAAGGATTTTTTACCTTATATTTACTAATCCCTGTTATTAGCAAAACATATTTGTAAAATATATATTTAACATATTTGTGAGATGTGAAAAATAAAATGTAATGCAAAAACCCGCACCCCATTATCCTGTAACTAGTGCTCTAGCTTTCTGACAATCATTGTTAGAAGTGCTTTGTATGTCATTCAGCACAGAGGGAGCATAGAGGGAGGAGGAGAAATTAAACAATGGCTCTATTCCTACTTCTCGTTTTCATTCTCTGAAGTTCTGCCTGTGCTCAGAACGACAGGCGGATGCGTATTAGGGACTTTAATTTGTGGCTTGGTGAATGGTGTCGGGAGCAAGGATTTGGCTTTATTTCTCATGGTAGCTCTGTGTGGCGAAACCAACCTCGCCACTGTACACTGGAGAAGCCTGGTTGCTCGCCTGCTGCCTTTGGACTATGGCCCCATGTTAAAAGACATCTTTTTCCCTGCAGAAAAGACTTATTCGTGCTTTTCTGCTGAGTGTTCGGTAGATTTGTTTGAGTGTGTTGTACCCCAGATAGGAATTCCAAAGAGCCCATTCGCAGTAAACTGACTGTGTAAAGACTTTGGCTCCATGGCGATTAAACTGTATTCGTGTGGTCTGAGCGCTATTCGCTTAATAATGTGCGCTCAGACCTGAGCTATATGGGGATATGTAGAACGTATATGTTTTATGTACTGAATGTAACTGTAGGTAATTTTTATGTCTTTTACTGTTTGTTTTCTGCCATGTGGTTAATGGAGTTTTGCCTCTGTCTTTGGAGACAATTGAATTACTTCTCAATTATCTCCAGAGCAGAGAGGAGGGATTGTGATGCATTGTGGGATGGTTGAAATGTGTAAGTCTGTGATTGGTCCTTTTACCCTTTGTGTCCCAGTCTCCCATTTGGTCCCCTAGGGGAGTGTCCACCAGGTGGGAGACCTGCATAAAAGCTGGGCAGTTAGCCCCAGTAAATCAGTTCCTGCTTAACCCTCAAAGTGAAGTGTCATCTCATTATTGGGGGAGGATTTACTGTATGCTGTTAGAGACTGATTGCCAGGAGTGTAAGCCGCTTGGGGGCTTTTCCTGTTCGTCTGCTAGCAGCTATTCGTTTTTCTCCAGTTCGGGAGTTGGCGAATTTGTGCGTTTGCAGTTCAGGAGATTGGCGCTTGCAGTAGCTGTCGGTGCAGCTGAAAAAGGGGAATATCGCCTAAACGTTTTTTAACCTCTTGTGGGCAAAACGGTCTGTTACACTCTGTTTGGAATGGAAATAACCTGTACAAAGAAGATGGTTTGCATCTTTCTCAAAAGGGAACAAACGTTCTCAGTGAGCATTTCAGAGGTTTTGCTAGGATGTATTTAAACTAGGAGGGGGGGGGGCAAAAGGGTGATAAAACATCAATCCAATTGTCCCCCAAAACAAGGACAGAAGGTGCCTGTAGCAAGTGTGTTAAAAAATGATAAGCTTAGAGTCATGTCTACAAATGCTCGCAGTTTAGGGAATAAGATCCATGAACTTGTGGCAATAATGGCAACTGATAGTGTGGATTTAGTTGCTGTTACTGAGACATGGTATAATGAGAAAAATGACTGGGACATAGCAATACCAGGGTACTCTTTATAAAGGAAAGATAGGGAAGGCAAGAAAGGGGGAGGGGTGGCCCTGTATGTGAAGGATAGCATAAAATCTAGCCTAATAAAAGTTAGTGAGGCAAACATAGAGTCCGTTTGGGCTACTTTAGAATTTGGTAATCACACAGTAACTCGTGTAGGTGTGATTTATAGGCCCCCAGGACAAATTGAAGAGTTAGATAATCTACTAGTTGAGGAAATAGCTAAAATGACAATGAAGGGGGAAGTTATCATCATGGGTGACTTTAATCTTCATGATGTAAATTGGAAAACAAAATTAGCTACTTGTGCCAGGAGCACACATATTCTAAACTCCCTACTGGAATTGTCTCTAAAACAAGTTGTTGAGGAGCCAACTCGGAAAGAGGCCATAGAAACATAGAAACATAGAATGTGACGGCAGATAAGAACCATTCGGCCGATCTAGTCTGCCCAATTTTCTAAATACTTTCATTAGTCCCTAGCCTTATCTTATAGTTAGGATAGCCTTATGCCTATCCCACGCATGCTTAAACTCCTTTACTGTGTTAACCTCTACCACTTCAGCTGGAAGGCTATTCCATGCATCCACTACCCTCTCAGTAAAGTAATACTTCCTGATATTATTTTTAAACCTTTGTCCCTCTAATTTAAGACTATGTCCTCTTGTTGTGGTAGTTTTTCTTCTTTTAAATATAGTCTCCTCCTTTACTGTGTTGATTCCCTTTATATATTTAAATGTTTCTATCATATCCCCCCTGTCTCGTCTTTCCTCCAAGCTATACATGTTAAGATCCTTTAACCTTTCCTGGTAAGTTTTATCCCGCAATCCATGAACCAGTTTAGTAGCCCTTCTCTGAACCCTCTCTAAGGTATCAATATCCTTCTGAAGATACGGTCTCCAGTACTGTGTACAATACTCCAAGTGAGGTCTCACCAGTGTTCTGTACAATGGCATGAGCACTTCCCTCTTTCTACTGCTAATACCTCTCCCTATACAACCAAGCATTCTGCTAGCATTTCCTGCTGCTCTATTACATTGTCTGCCTACCTTTAAGTCATCAGAAATAATCACCCCTAAATCCCTTTCCTCATATGTTGAGGTTAGGACTCTATCAAATATTCTGTACTCTGCCCTTGGGTTTTTACGTCCAAGATGCATTATCTTGCACTTATCCACATTAAATGTCAGTTGCCACAATTCTGACCATTTTTCTAGTTTACCTAAATCATTTGTCATTTGGCTTATCCCTCCTGGAACATCAACCCTGTTACATATCTTAGTATCATCAGCAAAAAGACATACCTTACCATCAAGACCTTCTGCAATATCACTAATAAAAATATTAAAGAGAATGGGTCCAAGTACAGATCCCTGAGGTACCCCACTAGTGACAAGTCAAAGCTTTGAATATATTCCATTAACTACAACCCTCTGTTGCCTGTTACTCAGCCACTGCCTTTGAACCCATTCAACAATATTTGAATCCAAACTTAAAGATTGCAGTTTATTGATAAGCCTTCTATGTGCAACAGTGTCAAAAGCCTTACTGAAATCTAGGTAAGCAATGTCTACTGCACCACCCTGATCTATAATTTTAGTTACCCAATCAAAAAAATCAATAAGATTAGTTTGGCATGATCTCCCTGAAGTAAACCCATGTTGTCTCTGATCTTGAAATCCATGTGTTTTTAGATGTTCATCAATCCTATCCTTTAACATGGTTTCCATCACTTTCCCCACTACTGAAGTAAGGCTTACTGGCCTATAGTTGCCTGACTCCTCCCTATTACCTTTCTTGTAAATGGGCACAACATTCGCTAACTTCCAATCTTCTGGGACTACTCCTGTTAACAATGATTGGTTAAATAAATCTGTTAATGGTTTTGCTAGTACACCACTAAGCTCTTTTAATAGCTTTGGGTGTATTCCATCAGGTCCCATTGACTTATTTGTCTTAACTTTTGACAGTTGAAATAGAACCTCTTCCAAAAAAAAAGACTGAAGTCTTCAGGAGGGGGGCGTGATGACGTGAGACGTGAGACGTCGCACATGTTGCAGGTGGGCGTGCCCGGAAGGAGGGTGTGGAGAACGGACGCGGAAGCGAGCTAGTTATGCCGCTCTGTGAACATTGTCTGGCTGGGAAAAAGATTTGTTGAATTGAAGTGAAGACTCAGCGAGGATTCAGTGGGGTCGGTAAATTTGATTCGAAGCACATGGTGTTGCTGAGGGTCTGTTGCTTTCACTTGGAGAGACAGCAGTGGTTCCCTTATGAATCATTAAAAAGATGAAGAAAGAATAAGGGAGAAACAATAATAGTTCCCTTATAAACTATTAAAAAGAACGAAGAAAAGAAAGAAAGAATAAGGGAGAAACAACAACAGTTCCCTTATAAACTAAAAAAAAAAACAAAGAAAAGAAAGAAAGAATAAGGGAGAAATAAAAAGAAAAGGAAAAGAAAAAAAAAATACATCCCTCAGCAATTTTCTAAATAGCCATATATAAAAACCGTGAGTACTTCTGTATATACTGCAACATTATTGCAAGGCATTATTGCAAGGCATTATATTTGTATATAACTATTGGCTTGAAAAAAAAAAAAAAGGGGGGAGCCTGTTTTGGAGGAGACTGGTATATCTGACTGATTTACTTGAATTAACTATTTGATTAATTGATTTAATTATTCAAGATTAAAGCTATATATGAGACATCTAGCTAAAATCTGTTATTGAGAAGTACTTAAGAAACAAAATGTCAACTAGGAAAACAACAGAAAAGAAGAAAGAAATTAAATCAGTTCAGCAAACAGAAAAGAGGTTGTCAGGTTTTTTCATAACCCCCATTAAGGATAGGCAGGAACAGATAATTGATGGTAAGACACACCCAGTTAATACCTCCAATATCAATTTGGAAGTTCCACTCAACCAACCTTCATCGGAAACCCAAGCAATTGCTTTAATTAGCATACAAGACCAATTTAAGCAAGTTTTGGAGTCACAACTAAATATATTGAAACAAGATATGCTTGCAAGTTTCAATGATATAAAACAAGAGATTAAAAATGTTGCAGTATCAGTGGTGGAAGTGGAAAAAAAATGTGAAGTTTTTGGAACTCAAATTAAAGCAATTAACACGGAGGTGCAGTCTCTAGCAAATAAAGTTGATAATCTTGAAAACAAAATAGCAGCTTTAGAAGATAGATCAAGAAAAAGAAACATAAGAATAAGAGGGGTTTCTGAAGAAATATCCAATGAAAAATTAAGAGAATATTTAAATAATTTATTTCAAGAAGTTTCACCAGAAATATTTTCAGATGAATATCAAGTAGAAAATTTCCACCGAATATACAAACCACATACAACCACTTCACATCTTCCAAGAGACGTAATAGTGAGTTTTTCTTCACTACTAATGAGAAATAATTTAATGAAAGCCAGCCGTATTAAACCCCGAACAAATTCTATTTATAAAGATATAATTTTTTTGCAAGACTTATCCTATCATACTAGGACTTGGAGGAAATCTTTCTCTACCGTGACAAACTTTTTAAGAAAGGAAGAGATCAAATTTCAATGGGGTTTTCCAACATCTTTAAGGTTCACTTGGAAACAAGAAAAAAAAATTTTTTCGGATGCAAATGATGCAAATAGTTGGTTAACAAGTATTAATAAGAAAGCTTGAAAAGTCTGTAGCGATGGAAAAGAGGAAGAGAAAGGAAGAGAGGAGAAGAAGAAGGAAGGAGGGGAGAAAAGGAAGAAAAAGAGAAAAACAATTTTTTTTTTCTCTTACTTTATAGTCAATAAGACTGTAAAACATAATTTTATCTTATAATTTATAACGTTTTCACTTATATGGAATTAATTAGATGTGTAATGTATAATTTACAAATTTTTCGATATAATTAATAATTGTTTTCACTTAAAGGGTATTAATTATGCATAATAGAAATAATTTTTTTTATTTTTTTTTCTTACTAAGAAATTAAAAGCACATAAATATGTGGAAAAAAGGAAAAAGAAGTTAAAAGCAAACACATTTAAGCATTAATATTAATGAGATTCAAATTTGATAAGGTGGTTAAAAGTAAATTATTCACATATATTAGTAAGGTTTTTTTTTTGGTAATAGATAAAAGATTAAATATACTTGTAATTAAATACCATTGGGAATAATAATAGAAATTGTCTATAAATAGATTATTAGTAGTTGTGGTAAGAAGAAATAGATTCACTCAAATCAAAGAATTAAAGGGTAAGGGGTTAAGAATAAAAGAAGGGAAAAGGAAATGGGTGTGTTTTTTTTTTTTTTGTTTTGTTTTTTTCTCCCTCTTGGGGTAAAATTGTAAATTTGGAAACATTACTACCTCTTTTTGGACATACCCACTTAGTGTCTAATTTAAAGACACAGTAGAGACTGAATTTCTAAATGAAAATTTACAGTCTTTGTGTAAAAAAAGGAGGACTTTCTCCAATGATTTTAAATTTATGTTTTATGTGTCTGTATGTATATGTTTATGCAGCAATAGGGAAGGATAATGACCATCGAGTGGAAAGGGATGTAGAGAAGTCTCTGAAAATAATATGATAAAAATGCTCACACTTAATGTTCAGGGATTGAATACTATAGCAAAAAGAAATTTACTGTATAAATATCTCAATGAAAAACAATTGAATTTAATATTTTTACAAGAAACCCATTGGAGGCAAGTGGATAAACAGAATTGGGGAGGCAAAAGATTTCCACTTATAATTCAAGCCTCTAATAAGGATAAAAAAAAAATGTGGAGTAGCTGTAGTATTTGGAGAAAAGATCAAAGTTGAAATTATTCACCAGATACAAGACATTAAAGGTAGATATTTGATAATAATATGCAAAATTAACTCTATACTTTTCACATTATGTAATATATATCTCCCTAATCATTTACCAGTTGCCTATTTAAAAACAATTTTGGAAAAAGTAGCTGAAATTAAAATGGGAAAGTTAATATTAGCAGGGGATTTTAACGCAGTATTGGACCCTCAGATTGATAAAAAATTAATGAAAGGAAATACTCTAAACCAAATGGTGATAAAACAAGCAAAAGCTTTAAAAAAAACTAAAGATGAATATAATTTATTTGATATTTGGAGAATTTACAATCCCAATGAGAGAGATTATACGCACTTTTCTAAAGTGCATTTTTCTTATTCAAGATTGGATATGATTTGGGTAGATCCAAGTATTATTGATATGACCAAAAAAACAAAGATTGATGAGATAGTTTGGACAGATCATAATGGAGTTTTCTGTGAAATAGTTTTTTGTACATTTAAAAGGGAAGCCTATACTTGGCTGTTAAGAGATAATTTGCTTTGTTGCGAATCAAAAAAAACTTACATAGGAAATAATATAAAAAATTACTTTAAGGAAAATATTTCAGAAAATATTGATCCATCTATTTTGTGGTGTGCCTTTAAGGCTGTTATAAGAGGTCATATTATCAAGCTACAAAGCCAGCTTGATAAAAATAATACTTTGGCATATTTACATACAGAATTAAGAAATATGACTCATATTAATAAACAATCTCCATTTCCCGAAATCTATGGAAAAATACTAGAACTTAAAGAAAATATAAAGCAAAAATTAATAGATACGACAGTTAAAAACATGGATAGATTAAAACTTAAATATTACTCTAAAGGTAATCGAGCTGAAAAGATGCTATCTCAAAAACTTAGAAAACAAAAAGGACAAAATAAAGTAGATAAAATAATACAGAATGGAAAATTAGCAACAACCCCTAGAGAGATTGGAAATTGTTTTAATAAATATTACAGCAATTTATATAATATATCTCAAATTAATACAGATGAGGATATTAAAAATTATTTAAACAATATAAAGAAGTTTCAATTAATATCTATTGAAAATGAATTTTTGAATAAACCTATAACTAAGGAGGAGATTATGAAAGCTATAAATGATTTAGAAAGATCTAAAACACCAGGCCCTGATGGGTTTAGCAATCTATTTTATAAAACATTTAAAGATCTATTATGTCCATATTTGACTTCTGTTTTCAATACAGCTGCAAACAGAGGATTTCTACCAGCAGAGATGCTTAAAGCTAATATCTTGCCCATTTTAAAAAAATGATAAAAATCCCACTGACATCAAAAATTACCGTCCAATATCTTTAATAGATGTAGACACTAAGCTATATGCTTCGGTTTTGGCTGCCAGAGTAAAAAAACTTCTCCCATCAATTATCCACAAAGATCAAATAGGATATGTTCCAGGTAGAAATTCTTATACAAGTATAAGGAAAATTATTAACATCTTGGACGATGCAAATAGAAATGATGTTCCAGTTCTGACTCTGTCGATTGATGCTGAAAAAGCATTCGACAGAGTAAGCTGGAAATATTTAGAAGCCGTCTTATCACACTATGGACTGGAAGGTTGGATTAAGAAAGCCATAATGGCCTTATATGTAAATCCAGTTGCACGGACTATTGGACCTAATATTGTTGCTCCATGGTTCCAACTTAGAAACGGTACTCGGCAAGGTTGCCCTCTTTCACCATTACTTTACCTGCTGACTATCGAACCATTGGCCGAAAATATTAGAAATAATAAGGAGATCAACGGATATAAAATAATGGATGAGGACGAAAAAATAAGTTTATATGCCGATGACATTTTAATTACTCTCACAAATCCTAAAAATTCTTTAGAACATACAATGCAAGAAATAGACCGATACAGTTTTATATCAAATTATAAGTTAAATACAAATAAATCCTTAATATTAGACATTAATCTCAATAAAAAGATGCAACAAGAGATTAAAAACAAATATGATTTTATTTGGGTTAAGGAAAGCATGGATTATTTAGGAATTAAAATAGCTAGAGAGACAAATAAAATGATGGAAGTAAATGTTCTAACATTATTATTGGACCTTAATAAATGGTTAAAAGATCGCAGAAATTTAGAGATTACTTTTTGGGGACGAATAAATGTCATTAATTCATATGTTATACCAAAGTGGAATTACATGATCCAAATGTTACCTCTCCATATTCCAATCCATTGGCTTCAATTAATACAAAGAAGCTTTACTCAATATATTTGGAAAGGCAAGAAGCCAAGATTAAAACAATCAGTATTAGTGCAAAAATTACATGAAGGTGGACTTGCCTATCCATTTATAGTGAACAATTTTAAAGCAGCTACTATCCTACATATTTATAGAATGCAAATTAAAGAAAATAAAGATGAGGGATGGTATAAAATGGAAATGAAAGCAGGAGAGGTCTCTAGCTTAGATTGCTTAATTTGGAATATAAATAAAACGTAAAAAAAAAAAGAGTACTCTAATATTATTTTAACTCAATTATTAGAAAATTGGTCCAAAATTAAAAAAGCAATGAATATAGAAAAAAAAAGTTCCAAGCTATTTAGAGTTAGATATTGTAGAAAATCAATTGGAAGACTTAAATTTAAATAATTGGAAAAAATTAGGGATAATGACTTTAGATCACTTATTGATAGAAGGATCAATCAAAACTTTTGCTCAAATAACAGGGGAATATAATCTTCCTTCTAGAGAGGTGTTTAATTTTTTAAGACTCAAAAGTTATATGAATACACACCTTATAATACCAATATCTAATTTGAGCAATTTGATTGATTTATTATTTACCTCAAAAAAAATTTATAAACCACTTTATAAAGCTTTAATATTAACTAAATCAATGGTCATGGATATAAATCCTACTGCCATACAAGTATGGAAACAAGATTTAAATATTGACATTAGTATGAAACAATGGGGTTCTTCAATGATGGATGTTAAGAAGAATATGCACTCATTAAATTTACTAGAAACACACTTCAAAGTTTTAAATAGGTGGTACTTAGTACCAGCTAAATTAAATAAAATATACCCTTTAATTAATTCTACTTGTTGGAGATGTAATAGTACTAGAGGTAATTTTAGACATATTTGGTGGGATTGTTATAAATTAAAAAATCTTTGGCTGAAAATACAGCACTTCATATCCAATAATCTAAAACTCGAGTTGATAATTTCCCCAGAGGTAGTTCTGTTGCACTTGAATTGGCCACATATGACGTATGAGCTAAAAGTAATTCTTATACATCTTTTTTTAGCTGCGAAAATAGTAATTGCGAGATGGTGGAAAAAAGATTCAGAAGTCCCCTGGAAGAAAGTTAAAACCCAACTCGAGTTTCAGATTAAAATGGAGTTGATGCTAAGTAAACAAGAACTAAGCAGTAAGGTATCTGTTTGGTCAAAATGTATTGAGATGATTGATGTAGAAAATAATGTTGATTAATTAGAAGCAGATCAATTCCATGAACATTGTAAAAATTATGAGATATATTTGAATGATATTACCACTCTACTAAGGAAATTTTTTCTAGTATTTTTTTCCCTTTCCTATTCTGCTGCTATATTGTTTTGTTTTGTATTGTAAATTTGTATGATATATGTATTTTGTATGATATATGTATTTAAAATAGGGAAAAAAATAAATAAATAAAGATTAAAAGCCCCCCCCCCTCTGTAAACTCACGTGTAATAAATGACTCATTTATCCTTTTTCTCAACTGAGGTCCCTTTCCTTCATTTTCTTCTGTAAATACAGAACAAAAATATTCATTGAGGCAGTCAGCCTGACCTTTATCCTCTTCTACATACCTTCCTTCTTTTGTTTTTAATCTAACTAATCCTTGTTTTACTTTTCTTTTCTCATTTATGTATCTAAAAAATGTTTTATCCCCCTTTTTTACTGACTGTGCTATTTTCTCTTCTGTGTGTGATTTGGAAGCTCTTATAACTTGCTTAGCCTCTTTCTGCCTAATCTTATAGATCATTTTGTCTCCCTCACTCTGGGTTTTTTTATAATTCCTAAATGCTAACTTTTTGTTTTTAACTATTTTGGCCACATCTGCGGAGTACCACAGTGGTTTCTTGAATTTTTTGCTTTTACTGACAAGCCTAATGCAATTTTCTGTTGCCTTCAATAGTGCAACTTTTAAATAATCCCATTTTTCTTGGACTCCATTTAAATTGCTCCAGTCTGATAATGACTCCTCTACCCATATTCTAATTTTAGAAAAGTCTGTTTTTCTAAAGTCTAAAACTTTTGTTTTTGTGTGGTGTGACTCAGTCACTGTTCTTATATTAAACCATACTGACTGATGATCACTGGATCCTAAACTTTCACCTACAGTAACATCTGATACCAAATGTCCATTTGTTAACACTAAATCTAGTATGGCCTCTTTACGAGTTGGCTCCTCAACAACTTGTTTTAGAGACAATCCCAGTAGGGAGTTTAGAATATGTGTGCTCCTGGCACAAGTAGCTAATTTTGTTTTCCAATTTACATCAGGAAGATTAAAGTCACCCATGATGATAACTTCCCCCTTCATTGTCATTTTAGCTATTTCCTCAACTAGTAGATTATCTAACTCTTCAATTTGTCCTGGGGGCCTATAAATCACACCTACACAAGTTACTGTGTGATTACCAAATTCTAAAGTAGCCCAAACGGACTCTATGTTTGCCTCACTAACTTTTATTAGGCTAGATATTATGCTATCCTTCACATACAAGGCCACCCCTCCCCCTTTCTTGCCTTCCCTATCTTTCCTATATAAAGAGTACCCTGGTATTGCTATGTCCCAGTCATTTTTCTCATTGTACCATGTCTCAGTAACTGCGACTAAATCTACACTATCAGTTGCCATTATTGCCACAAGTTCATGGATCTTATTCCCTAAACTGCGAGCATTTGTAGACATGACTCTAAGCTTATCATTGTTTAACACACTTGCTACAGGCACCTTCTGTCCTTGTTTTGGGGGACAATTGGATTGATGTTTTATCACCCTTTTGCCCCCCCTCCTAGTTTAAATACATCCTAGCAAAACCTCTGAACTGCTCACTGAGAACATTTGTTCCCTTTTGAGAAAGATGCAAACCATCTTTTTTGTACAGCTTATCTCCATTCCAAACAGAGCTACCATGAGAAATAAAGCCAAATCCTTGCTCCCGACACCATTCACCAAGCCACAAATTAAAGTCCCTAATACGCATCTGCCTGTCGTTCTGAGTGTTATGCACAGGCAGAACTTCAGAGAATGACAGTGTGGAAGCAACCTGCCGTATATCATTGGCAAAAACACTAAAAACTTCCTTAACCTCTGAAACCTCATTGCAAGCCAAGTCATTTGTCCCTAGATGGACAAGTACATCCAATTCCCCTTCCTGCTTTGCTTGCTTAACAATATTACAGATACGCCTCCTGTCTCTGTGAGCAGTAGCTCCGGGAAGACACCTCACAAGACCACCATTGTCCATCTCCACACCTCTTATAATGGAATCACCCAACAACAACTGCTTTCTATTAGGCCTCACCATAGTCTCCAAGCCAGTCTCCACAACACCACTAGTCTCAGTGCCTCTCTCCACAACACCACTAGCCTCAGTGCCTCTCTCCACAACACACTAGCCTCAGTGCCTCTCTCTACAACACCACTAGTCTTAGTGCCTCTCTCCACAACACCACTAGTCTTAGTGCCTCTCTCCACAACACCACTAGCCTCAGTGCCTCTCTCCACAACACCATTACACTCTGAAAGTGCAGAAAATGAATTATGAAGAGCAACAGACTGTGCAAAATGCCTTTTATCCACAACTCTAAGTCTACCAGATCCTACAGTAATCCATCTGCCTTTCCTAGCATGTCTCTGCGGCAGTGGCTTTGCAGCAGTTCCAGTCTGAGTTTCTTCACCAGATAATTTACAAATCTCAGACTTCAAAAATACAATCTCCTGCCGCAAGATAGAGAACTGTCTACAGATTAGACAACAACCAAACCTCCAAAAAGTGGAACGTGAAACAAATGCATAGCAATTGTTACACTGAACTAAGTCTGCCATTCCAATTATGAGAATAATTTAAATCTAACAAATCTTAACTTTTTTCTTTATCCTCCTGAATACCTCAGATTACCTCCAGGTTATCTCCAGAATATCTCCAACTACACACTTAGAAGTAGCACCAAGCTATATTAGACAAGCTAATGAGACCAAGCCTTATATAACTCCTTAAATCACCGCCCACTAGGAATGTTTAACACCTGGGTAGGCCTCTGCTTATTTGCAAACAATAGCTAATTAACCAGCAATCAACAGCAAGTAACTAGCTTAATCAAATCAAATGCCTTATAATTACCAACAGGAATTCAAACCTTGGGCAATCAGTAACCTTTTCCTACAGATGAATCTTACCTGTAACAGTAGAAAAGAAAGCTCTTAGCACAACTCTTAGACAGTTGAAGCTTCTGTAAAACTCTCCAGAATATCTCCAACTACACACTTAGAAACAGCACTTTGAAGTAGCACCAAGCTATATTAGACAAGCTAATGACACCAGGCCTTATATAACTCCTAAAATCACCGCCCACTAGGAATGTTTAACACCTGGGTAGGCCTCTGCTTATTTGCAAACAATAGCTAATTAACCAGCAATCAACAGCAAGTAACTAGCTTAATCAAATCAAATGCCTTATAATTACCAACAGGAATTCAAACCTTGTGCAATCAGTAACCTTTTCCATACTAGGCCATACTAGATTTAGTGTTAACAAATTGAGATTTGGTATCAGATATTACTGTAGGTGAAAGTTTAGGATCCAGTGAGCATCAGTCAGTGTGGTTTAATATTAGAACAGTGACTGAGTCACACCACACAAAACCAAAAGTTTTAGACTTTAGAAAAACAGACTTTTCTAAAATTAGAATATGGGTAGAAGAGTCATTATCAGACTGGAGCAATTTAAATGGAGTCCAAGAGAAATGGGATTATTTCAAAGTTGCACTATTGAAGGCAACAGAAAATTGCATTAGGCTTGTCAGTAAAAGCAAAAAATTCAAGAAACCACTGTGGTACTCCACAAATGTGGCCAAAATAGTTAAAAACAAAAAAGTTAGCATTTAGAAATTATAAAAAAAAACAGAATGAGGAAGACAAAATGATCTATAAGATTAGGCAGAAAGAGGCTAAGCAAGTTATAAGAGCTTCCAAATCACACACAGAAGAGAAAATAGCACAGTCAGTAAAAAAGGGGGATAAAATTTTTTTTAGATACATAAATGAGAAAAGAAAAGTAAAACAAGGATTAGTTAGATTAAAAACAAAAGAAGGAAGGAATGCAGAAGAGGATAAAGGTCTAGCTGACTGCCTCAATGAATATTTTTGTTCTGTATTTACAGATGAAAATGAAGGAAAGGGACCTCAGTTGAGAAAAAGGATAAATGAGTCATTTATTACACGTGAGTTTACAGAGGAAGAGGTTCTATTTCAACTGTCAAAAGTAAAGACAAATAAGTCAATGGGACCTGATGGTCAGGGCCGGACTGGGAAAAAAATTAGGCCCGGGCATTTTTCAATCAGAGCGGCCCCCTAAGAAGGGGGCGGGGCCAGAGAGGGTGTGTTTTGTCATCACTAATGACAAGCACGCCCCCTCTCAAAGTGAGCATGTTGGTTCAATGCGCAGAGCTGCGCTGAAGAGCTCTTGCATTAGAAAAAGGCCCTGTATTTGTTCTGCGCAGCGCAAGCAAATTTAATAACATGCTTGCGCTGTGCTTGCTTTTAAATTGTCTCTGGTGTCTCAACAAGTGGGATACCAGAGGACAAAAGGGCCAGGAAAGTGTATGGTGCATGTGTTTGGAGCCTGCTTGTGGGATTGCATGTGTGTGTTGAGTGTGGTATGGTATTGTGTAAATAGGTCAATTTAATTTGTTTTTGTGGTGTAATTTGTGTGGCTAGGGGCTGTAGAGAGTGTGTGTATAGGGGGCATAGTGTTATAGGGGATGTAGCGAGTGTGTGCATACGGGCTGTAGTGTGTGTGTATAGGTGACATAGTGTGTGTAGGGGTTGTAGAGAGGGTGTGTTTAGAGAATGTTGTATGTGTTTGCTGACAAGGAATGTAGTGTGTGTGTAGGTGGTGCAGTGTGTGTGTAGGAGATCTAGTGTGTAAAGGACCCAGATTGTGTATAGGAGATTGTGTGTGTGTGTGTGTGTGTATAGAGGATTAAGAGTGCATATAAGGTAAGGGATCTAGCGTTTATCTGGAGCGTAATGTATGTAGTGCTGTAGTGTGTGTGTGTGTGTGTATATATATATATACACATACATATATATATATTTGGATGTATTGTATGTGTGTGTGAGGGGCGCAGTGTGTGTGTATGTAAGAGGGGTGCTGTGTGTGAGGGTGTTTTTATCTGCCCTCACATTCTAATTTTCTTTGTTAACTCACTGAGGGTTATTTTATATATATATATATATATATATATATATATATACACACACACACATATATATATATATATATATATATATATATGTGTGTGTGAGCGAGGGTGCTGTCTGTCTGAGGGTGCTGTGTGTGAGTGAGGGTGCTGTGTGCCTGAGTGCGCTGTGTGTGTCTGGGGGTGCTGTGTGTGTCTGGGGGTGCTGTGTGTGTCTGGGTGCTGTGTGTGTCTCGGTGCTGTGTGTCTGTGGGTGCTGTGTGTCTGTGGGTGCTGTGTGTGTCTGGGGGTGATGTGTGTGTCTGGGGGTGATGTGTGTGTCTGGGGGTACTGTGTGTGTCTGGGGGTGATGTGTGTGTCTGGGGGTACTGTGTGTGTCTGGGGGTGCTGTGTGTGTCTGGGGGTGATGTGTGTGTGTGAGTGTGATTTTTTAATTTAAATTAATTATTTAATTTTTTTATTAATAATAATAATTAAAAAAAAAGTTATATCCCCCCCCCTCCCTTCTTACCTTTAGCCTGGGAGGAGGGGGGGGAACCGTTTTGCCTGGGACGGGGGGGAGCCGTTCTGCCATGGGAGAGCCATGCTGCCTGATCCCTGGTGGTCCTAGTGGTGAGCGTGAACTCTAGCCTGTAGGCTAGAGTTCACTCTCGCGAGATCTGAGCGTTGCCGCGGTAACCGCGGCAACGCTCAGAATCCCGCGAGAGGACCCGGCGGAGCTGCTGGATAGAGCTCCGCCGGTCCTCTCCTCCCTCCCTCACACCCCAGCAAGCGGCCGCCTGGAAGTGTCTCTGGGCCGGTAAAGGGAGATCTTTGATCTCCCCACCAGCCCATGGAGACACACAGCAGGGCCGGCGCTCGGGTAGTGCTGGCCCTGCAGGAGCCGGCCGGGGAGATCCTGTGATCTCCCCTGCCGGCCTCGGCCCCACGGCCATCGCGGCCCACCGGGCATTTGCCCAGTATGCCCGATGGCCAGTCCGGGCCTGCTGATGGAATACACCCAAAGTTATTAAAAGAGCTTAGTGGTGTACTAGCAAAACCATTAAAAGATTTATTTAACCAATTATTGTTAACAGGAGTAGTTCCAGAAGATTGGAAGTTAGCGAATGTTGTGCCTATTCACAAGAAAGTTAGTAGGGAGGAGTCGGGCAACTATAGGCCAGTAAGCCTTACTTCAGTAGTGGGGAAAGTAATGGAAACCATGTTAAAGGATATGACTGTTGAACATCTAAAATCACATGGATTTCAAGATCAGAGACAACATGGGTTTACTTCAGGGAGATCATGCCAAACTAATCTTATTGATTTTTTGATTGGGTAACTAAAATAATAGATCAGGGTGGTGCAGTAGACATTGCTTACCTAGATTTCAGTAAGGCTTTTGACACTGTTGCACATAGACGGCTTATCAATAAAATGCAATCTTTAAGTTTGGATTCTAATATTATTGAATGGGTAAGGCAGTGGCTGAGTGACAGACAACAGAGGGTTGAAAAACATTACAGAAAACAAATATATGTATTTTATTGCAGTAAAAACTAACAGTTTTATGACATTCACAGATAAAATGCATAGCAGCACTGAGAAAATAATAAAATGTCTTAATTTCTCGCACTTTTCTAGACTTCATAATAAATTATGTTTCACTATTTGATGTGAAATAAAAGGCCTGTTTCTCCTCAACAATATGATATATAAAAATGTGGGTGGACCTTACTATGAAAGAGGTAAATTATGGTTGAACAAACTTATAGAGTAAATTCCAGGTTTTGTTTTGATTAGAACATGCACATTTGCCTCTATCTTTAGGGGTTAAATTGTAACAAAGAATTAAACTATTTTTTTTTTAATATTTCGTTTTTTATTATTTGGTTCATCACCATCTTTACACAGTCTTTCACAACAGTGTTTGCAACCATAAAACAGTAGAAACATAATGACATTGATACAATGATACAATGCAGTCATATTCCACAGGGTGGGCTACATTATAACCCTTTCAAGACATGCAGGACCCAGTCATATTGGAAATGGGGAATCTTATATTGTCAGAGGTATGGCATTTACATCCAGGCCCTCCTTTAGTCGAAAGTGTAACTTTGACAGGTCTAGCAGGATTTGTTGCTGTGGGTGACTGAGTTGCAAAAGAAGGGTGGGGGGGTAATAACCTGGTAAAGGCAAGGAGGGGGTCGAGATGCTGCTTCCCCTGAGTAGGTTCCGTGTTGGTTCGCTTGGGCCCATTCCTTCAGCTCTGTTTACCCCTGTGGAGTTGAAGCTGGGTGGGTTACTCCGTTATTTTCCTGCCCTGTTCATCTGGGGTGGGGTGAACTTCGGGTCTAAGAGTGCTGTTGGGCTCCGTTCACCATTTGGACCAAATCAGGTCGTACCTTGCTATTGTGCCCTGGATAGTGTGTGCTATTTTCTCAATTTGCTGTGAGTGGTTCACCCTACTAACTACTGCCGTTATTTCTGGAGCTGAGGTTGATTTCCAGAGGGAGGCAATGCAGTGCATGGCTGCTAATGCGATGTGGGTAGCAAGCACCGCTTCAGGATGCGAAAGTGGTTTGGGCAGCATGTGCAGCAGGTAAGCCTCCGGTGTGAGTGGGACCTCCTTACTTTGTATTAGACATTGCACCTGTCCCCAGAAGGTGTGTAATACAGGGCATTGCCAGAAGACATGACTCAGAGTACCCACTTGCTTGCTGCAGTGCCAGCACATCTGTTGTGCACCTGGGTATATGAGGGCCAGTCTCTGGGGGGTGAGGTACCACCTCATCCAGAGTTTGTAAGCTGCTTCTACATGATCCAGGTAATGCGTGGCTTTTTTGACGAGTGCCATTGCTGCTAACCATCTGCCCTCACCCAGTGTGTAGTTGAGTTCAGTTTCCCAGTGCACAATGTAGCTCAACTTATCTGGTTAGTTTACCTCTAGGAAAGCAGTTTTGCTTCGGTTTTGTGGTTGTGACACAGTGAGTCAAGCACGTCTGGCCTTCGGATATCTGGCGCCGCTTAGACAACTCCCTGTAGTGTGTGCTTAATACGTAGATACGTAAAGAGTTCCCTACCAGGGAGGAGGTAAGTTTGCTGAAGTTCTGGGAACTGCCTAATTTCCTTACCCTCCATGGGTTGGGATACCTTCACTATCCCCCTCTCTGTCCATTTCTCTAGAGCCAGGTCATGTGTGAGGAACTGTAGGCTAGTCATGGGGGCATACGCCAACAGAGGTTTGGCTAACAGTTTTGGGGCCCACTTGTGCCATGTGCGGAGAGATAAGCCGGTGGCCATTAGCAGGTCAGAGTTGTGGGGGTGTGACTTGGGTGGGACCCACAGTAGGTCCAGTAGGCTGTGAGGTGCAATTATTGCACTTTCTAGATGGTACCAAAGGGGGCGTCTCGGGGTCAGTAACAACCGTGCTGTTTGGGACAGGTTTGTGGCTACGTAGTATTTAGTGATGTTGGGAACACCCACTCCCCCACCGCACATGGCCAGGGTTATGCTTGCTGTAGAAACCCTCGGTGGTTTCTTCTTCCATATATGTGCATTTAGCAGACGCTGGAATCGTTGCAGTAGCGACTTTGGGAGCTCAATAGGGAGGGCCCTGAAGAGGAATAGTATTTGTGGGAGTATGATCATTTTGATGGAAGTTTTCTGTCCCAGCCAAGAGGTGTTTTTGGCCCCCCAGCCCTCCAGCAGTGCCTCTTTTTTAGTCAGTAAGGTGTCGTGTTTGTTTCGGAGTAGGAGGCGTCGTGAAGGTGCTAATCATGTGCCTACGTAGGAAAGAGTGTCTTTCCTCCAGTCAAAGGGGTGTTGAGCTCGGAGAGCAGTAAGTTGTAAGTGGGTCATGTTCAGGGGCAGCACCTGGGTTTTTGCCCCATTGTTTTTATAGTAGAACACTTGGCCATAGTTTTGAAGGAGGCTCAGGAGGTGCTTTAGGGAGTCTGTCCGGTTAGTCAAGAAAAGGAGGATGTCGTCAGCATAGGCGGCTATTTTTTGGGGACCCAGTGACGAAGGGATGCACTATTCCTGTTTAATTATGTGTAGTAGCGGTTTTAGTGCTAGGATAAAAATGAGGGGCAATAGTGGGCATTCCTGTCGTGTGCCATTCATCAGGGCAAAACGTCGGGAGGTGAAACTGGAGCTCATAACCGTGGCTGCCGGGGAAAAATATAATGATAGCAGGCCACTGAGGAATTTGTTGGGGAATTTAAATCTGTGGAAGACTTCCGTCATGTAGCTGGTCAAAAAAACCTTTTCCGCATCAAGAGCCATTAACAGTCCCTGCGTCTTTTGTACTGTCATAAGCTCCATTATGTCCAGCGCCCTCCTGGTGTTATCCTCCCCCTGGCGCTCCGGGATGAAACCCGATTGTTCTGGGGAGACAAGCGTACACAGGAGGGGGCGTATCCTGTTAGGACCTTGGCAAATAACTTTGTGTCTGCGTTAATTAGCGAAATAGGGCGGTAATTTGCACAATATTCTGTGGGTTTGCCTGACTTGGGAATGGTAATTATAGTGGCCTCCAGCATTTCAGAGGGTATGGATCCTGACTCCATGATGTTGTTAAACAGGGAGGTACTGTGTGGGAGGAGCTGGTCCGCAAAGACTTTGTAGTAGTGGGTGGAGAAACTGTCCGGTCCTGGGGCTTTATGTCGTGGGGTATCCCTAAGTGCGAGATTTCCTCAGGGTTGATTGGGCTATTGAGTAGTGAGGCTTGGTCGCTAGAGAGCTGGGGGAGCCCCACCCCGTCTAGGTAGGCGGCTATCTCCAGAGGGATCGGCTGGTGTTGTAGGGGGTCCTCCGCTAAGTTGTAAACGGCACCGTAGAAAGTTGCAAATTCATCTATCATTTTGGGGTTTGTCAGTTTCATCCCAGTGCTGTCTACTAAGTATGGTATCCGCATCTGAGTGTTTTTTTCTTTAAGTTGGGCAGCTAGCAATTTCCCTGCCCTGTTCCCTTGTCTATAGTAATCACTTTTGAGTTTGCGGAGAGCCCTTGCTGGAGTTGATGAGTCTCCAAGTCAGCCCTGATCTTATTAACTTCCCATATGGATTTGTGGAGGTCCTCAGCTAGTTTCAGGTCCCTGAGCAGTGCATTGCTAGTCTCCACTAGTTTGTGCTTTAGTGTTGCTCCTGCCTTAATCAGTAGCCCCCACGCCACAGTCTTATGGACCAGCCACGTCACGGCCACGGTTGTATCTTGGGGCTGGTTGCTTGCAAAGTAATCCGCTATGGTTTTCCTCACCTCTACAACCTGTTCAGTGCGGTCTATAAGCGACTCATTGAGGCGCCATGTGCCTCGTCCCCACTCCGGGTGTAATGTGGTGAATGAGGACAGTAAGGGGGCGTGGTCTGACCAGGTGATAGGGTCAATGGTGACTTTAGCCAGGGTGTCCAGGGACTTCACATCCACCAGGCAAATGTCTATGCGAGAATACTGGTCGTGGACTTTCGAGTGGAAAGTAAAGTCCCTGGTAGCTGGGTATAGGGAGCGCCTCGTGTAGTGAAGGCCTAGGGTGTGTAAGAGGGCACAGAGCTTGTCACTAATAGAGGCGAAGCGGAGATGGGAGCCTGGGGTGCCTGATCTGTCATGGTCTGGGTCACGTATGCAGTTGAAGTCCCTGCATACATATGTTTGTCCCTGCCTTAATCTGTCGGGTCAGTTTTAGGTCCCAAAGCTGCTTTAAATTGTCTCTTTTGGCCATTCCGGTCTCGGAGCTCTCACTCCATGTGACTGCTCCGTGAGACTGGAAGTGAGAATTAAACTATTTAACATTGTTATCCTAAGGAAGATTAGAGCACGTGTTAACCATTAATGATAAGTGAATCAGCTTTTCACAGTTAACTTATACAGTATGCTATGTTTACACTTAAGGAATTAAGTAAGGAATTTGCACATAAGCCCCTCAGAACTTTGTATCCACTTTCTATGTGGTTCCAACATAAAACAGAATGTACACTGTTTAAGGCAGTTTATAGAGCATGATTTAGGTTAGAGACACTGTAATAGATAATGTTAGAGATTCAATAAAATGCTTTAGAGCTTCCTTTATCTCTTGATTCCTAAGACTATAAATAATTGGATTGATAAATGGAGTTCCCATGGTATATAAAAGTGATAGAACCTTATTTACATTAAACAATTGCCCTTTAGAAGGAGTCATATATATTGTAATCAGAGTCCCATAGTATGTGCTCACTACAATCAAGTGAGAGCTACAGGTGGAGAAAGCCTTCTGTTTCCCACTGTTTGAGGGAATTCTAAAGATGGTGATAAAAATTGTTACATATGTATAAATGATGAAGAACAAAGGAAAATTAATGAATGGTATTGACAATATAAAATCTACCATTTCAACTACAGTAGAATCAGAGCATGATAACTCCACAAGGGGGGCAAAATCACAGAAATAATGGTCAATTACATGGGGACCGCAGAATACTAATGTATGTATTAGACAAGCAATAACTAATGATATTGTACATGATAAAATCCATGACCATAGAGCAAGATGGTGATAAAGTCTGGAGTCCATGACAGACGTGTAACGCAATGGATTGAGGATGGCTACATATCGGTCGTAGGACATCACCGTGAGAAGAAGACACTCAGTTGTTGCTGATGCGCCATAGAAGTAAAATTGTGTTATGCAGCCCTTAATGGATATTGTGCTACCTCCGGTAATTGTAATTTGAAGCATGTTTGGAGTTATATTTGTGGTGAGTAAGATATCACACAGTGATAAGTGACTGAGAAAGAAATACATGGGAGATTTCAAATTTTGAAACATTGCCACCAATGAAATAATCAGAAGATTGAATCCCAATGTCAACATATATATTACAAGAAATACTAAAAATAGCATAATGTTAAATATCCTGAGGTTCTGAAATCCCAAAAGCAGGAATTCTGTCACCACTGTCTGGTTGACTTCCAGCATATCCTACAAAGGAGGTAAAGGAAGAAAATCATCAGACCAAAAGTATTTACATATTGGCTCTTCAGTTCTTATCCGGTTAAATCACCCATAATCCTTTAATTTACAAACAGCAGCAAATGGTTGGCTGAGATTAACAGAAAGTTGTAATTTTCTTTTAATCATTTTCAGTTGAGGTTCCTTAATAAGTCACCTATTACTATATATTTCTTAAATATTTTAGCTAACTGAAAGTGTTAGCAGTATGGCTATTAAGCTTACACAAGAGAAGCTAAAGGTCTATAAATGTCAAAAAGACAAACATTCCTCTACTACATTAAAATTAAAAATAAAATATTCACCTCTTTAGTCTAATGCTTCCATATGAGAAGTATTCTCTTGGATAATCTCTACATTTGATTGCAACATTTGTGTCAGTTGCTGTACATGCACCATTTTTTATTTAAGATGTAATAGGTGACAGACACGCAAGTGATACATTCTTAAAGCACAGACTTTATTCTTTACTCCTAGTTACAATGACAATGTTTTATTCACACACTATGGTTGTAACGGACCGTTTTGCACAAAAGGGGAAAAAACCGCTTAGACGATAATCCCCTTTCAGAGACAGGCACAGCTACTGTAGAATCACCAAAACTCACGAACTAAATACAAGTGAATGCTCCAAACTCCCGAACGGCATACAAGGGAATGCTCCAAACACTCGAATTGCATACAAGGGAATGGTCCAAACACTCAAACTGCATACAAGTGAATGCTCCAAACTCCCGAATGGCATACAAGGGAATAAGGTAGCACTCCAAATACACGAACAGGAACCATACAAATTGCTGCTACCAGACGAACAGGAAAAGCTCCCAGGCGGCTTACACTCCTGGCAATCAGTCCTTAGCAGCATACAGTAAATCCCCCCAAAGACGAGACAAGGCTCTGTGTTGAGGGTCAAGCAATGGTCTGTTTAATGAGGGCTACCTGCCCGGCTTTTATGCAGGTCTCCCACCTGGTGGACACTCCCCTAGGGGACCAAATGGGAGACTGTGACAAGGGACAGACAAGTAGACAAATAGGACACACAGTCACAGTATATTCCCACAATGCATCCTGGCTTCCTCCCCTCTGCCCTGAGAGATAATTGAGAAGTAACTCAATTATCTCCCAAGACAAAGGCAAAACTCCATTACACATGTGGGGACACAAAACCAGTATTATACTTTAAAATACATAAAGTAACATTTATTACATAAAACACAGACATGTAACATATCCCCAGATAGCTCAGGTCTGAGTGCACATTATTAGGTGAATGGCGCTCAGACCACACAAATACAGTTTAATCGCCATGGAGCCAAAGTCTTTACAGTCAGTTTCATACGAATGGGCTCCATGGGATTCCTATCTGGGGTATAACACATTCAAACAAATCTACCGAACCCCAGGCAGAAAAGCACGAATTAAGCTTTTCTGCAGGTAAAAAAGATGTCTTTTAACAGGGGGCCATAGTCCAAAGGCAGCAGGCGAGCAACCAGGCTTCTCCAATGCAATGTGGCGAGATTGGTCTCGTCACAATGGTCTTTAAAAAAGACCACATTGTGCAACCAAAGTGTTATCTGTGTAACTTTGAGTTCCTATTAAAGTCTATGCTTTATGGATTTTGTGCACCCAGATTTATTTCATATGTGTCTAGTGAATATTGGGAAACTTGCCATCTTTGGATCTTGGAAGCACTGATCAATGATATGAAGCTCTTTGGTTCAACACGTGTGCAGGTCTAGTAATAAGTTACATAGACAAGCTAAAATCCACTGTGGAAAGCTAAACAAACCAACTTTAAAGTAAGCCAAAAATATGGGAAATGCCAAGACCAAGAGATTGATATAAAAATAGCAGATTGGGTGAGGTGTATGGAGGTGAATTCTTTAAAACATTTACGCACTGGTTTACACCAAAGTCTAGAGCTTATTAAAATAGCTGAGCGCTTGTAATGTGAGTGAGATAACATGTATCTGTATCAAGGAGCAACAATGTACCTTTGATACATTGTTGTTACTTCTAAAAAATGGAAACACAGTATGGACAGACTAAACTCAGCAAATTTGCAATCCTCAGCAGGTATGTATATGGCATCAGGGCTTATATGCTAAATAACAATATTAAATAGTATATTAATCATATTAACAATATATTTATTTTTATTATATTATTATTAATAAAGGGCCAACAAATTCCACAGAACTGCACAATAGGTGAACTATGTAACAAGATGATTTGGACCCTCTGCAACGGAGGGTGTTGAGGTTCCTTCTCAAATGAGCTTACATTCTAGAGGCAGTGGGGTAAAGTGACATAGTAGGCAAGGGTAGATTGCATTTCATGTATGGGAAAAGTAGGTTGCTAGAATGGTTTTCAATTAAAGCTTTTTTGGGGGGATGAGACAGTTTCAGGAGACAAAGCAAGGTAGGTTACCAAAGTGCGGGCAGGAAAGATATTAACAGTTTAATTGATATGTCTTTATAAGGAAGGGAGTTTTTAATGATTTTTTTGAAGGGATGGAGACTGGGTGACAGTCTAACAGAGCATGGAACAACCCTAGAGAAATCTTGAAGATGAGCACCAAATCTATGAGTACAACCAGAGGACAGCCGCAGGTCATTAGCATAGCGTAGGGTCCTGGATGAGACAAACTTGTGTATTAGGGAGGATAGGTAGGTAATAGCAGTGTTGTGTAGAGAGTTTGAAAATGTTTGAATGAAACATTTTACCGTAAAATTCATGTAACAGTAAACAACTGGTAATGTAATCAAGATTCTCTTGGATAATGTAGTTACAACAAAAAGATCTAATTGAGCAAACTAATACCATGTAACTATACTTTTACTCAAAGTGAAAACACATATCCTGTCCTGTCTAGAAACCCCACTGAACTGGCAAAAGAAAAGTTTTAAGTAATCAAGAGAAAGGTAATAACAGGCTTTCTTCCATCAGCCGTAAAATAACTAATTATATGAATATAATATATGAAAATTATATTACTAATTATATGAATATAATATATGAAAAAAAGTGTTCAATGATTAAAGGAGTTATGTTGTACTTATAATCACTACCCAGGCACAGTAAATTACCAACTACATACTCTGTGAAGGCAATTACTACTGGTGAGAGAAAGAACTGTTGTATAAATATTGTGCAGAGAAAGGGCATTTTTTTCTTAGATTTGAATTGCAAATTTCTCCAACAATTCATTTTTGTGACATAATTGATGTGTGTGATTTAATTTTGATACAATTTTCATTAGAACATTATTATTGCAATGTATATATATATATACATATAAGGAGCAACAATGTACCTTTGATACATTGTTGTTACTTCTAAATATAGGTGTCAAAAAAAACCGGAATGCACTCCAGGGTCTTTGTAAAGTAAAATGTAACTTTTAATTTATATACAAAATACATTTTTTTTTTTTTGCTGGAATCGCACTGGGCATCACAGTCATTATATACCTGGAGTGCAAGCACCTTGGATTTACCTATATATTTACATAACAGAAGTGCCAGAATAACAAAACGATATCACTGAACAGTCACATCATTAAAATAATTGTGTATGGAAAACTCAACTTTTATTGAGACAAATAAATAAATAAATCAGGAAGCATACATATATTTACTACCTATTCCACAGACAAGTGAGTATATGAGCCTCAGTAGACATGAGTATTGGATGCCATCACTAAAAGGGTTCACACATGTATATTAGTATTTTTACACAAAAGTTGGTTGATCATTAAAATAGTGTGATCTTCCTTTTGAAAGTGTGTTCACAAGTAATTGAATTTGCTATCAGTCCATCATATCTGTGGAACCTGTATGATTCATGCAATAATAATACAATTCACCTATCATATCAGTGGAGCTTTTATAATTCACAAATTATTACAATCCCCCATCATATCTGTGCAACCTGTATTTTTCAAGAATCTACATAATATAAATGTTATCTACATATTTTATAGTAAACTGGTTGATACATTTTCAAACCATTTGGTTTACTGATTAGGTCAGAAAAGGTAACGAATAGAAGGAAATGGAGGAGCAGTATTAAGAACAAATATATATTTATCTATTATATATATTTATTAAATATAAAAATGTAAAAAAGTAGATTTTTGGGGGTCACCACAGGCGGACATTAAAAACTAAATCAAATAACCATGTTTGGTGCCAGATGTTTGCCCAGTTATATGTCCATAAAATGCATTGAAAATGTAAATCAGCATAAAGTAGAATGAATTGCAATTGAATCAAAACCACTTAGACAAGTCTAGTATAAACTGTGATATCCATACAGCATATCCATACAGGCCTAGACCACTAGCCAATCAAGCTCATTGATACATGTCATCATGTGCCAAAAATGCAGTTTCACTTTTCTGTAGATAGAGAAGAGATTCATTCACTAAACAATGAGTTGAAGTAAGATACAATCTTACATTAACACTAAATTGGAAAATAGAAAATAACATAATCACATTCAAACTCAGACAAGTAGAAGGGTTTTTTCCAACTCTTATGAAATATAGTTTTCAAGTTTGCAGTGAACACAGTCTAGTGAATGAGATCCCAATAATTTATGATATACTTATACTACATATACGTATCTGCAACAGATTTCTACATTTACACAGATGTTTAATAGCAGTGTGTATTGAGGCCAAAGTAACCAAATAAGTCACTTATTTTAATTCTACAAATTTTAATTAATTTTTAAATTCCCTTTTATATTAGTATTGTAATTATTATTATTGATGTTGGCATTTACATATCATCTTCTTAATCTTTTTGTTTTTTATAACCTTGAAAACAAACATTAATACAATATACATACACACATTCAAAATAACAAGGAGGTATATTCACTTAGAAGCATTGTTTAAACCCTAAAACTGATTTAGATACCTTCTCTAACTCGTCCATGCCTCTTATTCTAAAATCTGCATACTAACCTGTGCTTGTAGCTCTCTTTATTTGTTGCAATATTAATAAAATTTCCTTCAATGACCAGCATTAATGCATATACCTGTAGTGGTCTTACAAATCTTTATACAATCTGTAAAAGGCAATTTGAATTCTGGAAACACTGGGGAGACAAGTGTACTGAGATTTTTAAGGAATCCACAATGGAAATGACTGTCCCTCCACTAATTACTTTATTTCAATTAAACCTTGAAACAAAAATATTACAATGCAGTATCAGGTTGTTGTATATACACTGGAAAAATATAAGGTATTCGTTATTTTAAATAAATAAAAACTGATAAATGTAATGTCTATAAAAGAAAATTAACACTTTGAGGTGAATTCACTAAAGTGGAATTTTCAACTTTAGCTCACAATAGCTAAAATAGAATTAAAAAGTTCCCCAATCTAGTGACACTTTATTTTATTTCACCAGTTTTTGCTTAAAATGTATAGTTTTCTTTCTCAGAATTCCAAATAAAAAATAAATATAAATACATATATATTTTTTTATGTCGCTCATTTCTTTCTTTCTTTCTTTCTTTCTTTTTTTTGGTGCAATTTAATGCATTTTCTCATAGAAACAACAGACACCTTGACACACTCTCACATTTAGAATGGTGTTACCTTTTATCCATTGCAAAAGTAGTAGTACTGAGATAAGTGACCTCCAATGTTAGCATTATTGACTTATTTGGACAGAGAGCACTTTAAATCGTATATAGCATAGATGGTATCTTCCCCACCTATGAAACTGAAATATGAATCCTCCAGGTAAAAATCTTCAGATTAAATCAGGAAGGTTCAAATTCAATAAAAAACTAGTTTTATTTATAACCAAGATAGTAAAACAAAAAGTATAGTATAAAACAACAATAAAACACTAATGTGTTTGATCTGCTCACAGGCTTTTTCAAAGTGTTACAGAGATATGGACCTGTCCTGTTTAAACAGCTTGTAAATTCAAAAAGTAATTTGTCTTTCAATTAACATAAAGTAATCCGTCTTTCAATGAACATAAAGCTTTAGTATAATACCATATGCATAAGAGTGCGAAGAGATGCTGAAAAATATGTTAAAATCACTTAAAAATGGGGGAGTTGGGGGTGGCTTTGACGTTGAAGGGAGCAGACACATGCCGGATAAGATCCCACAGCCTACACTGCAAAAACTGAGTCTGGGGCATTTACTTACCTCTATTCCACTTGAGCATGAGACCAGAGGTCGAGCACCTAATGGAGAAGAAGGCTAAGAAGCTAAGAACCCCCATGACATCGCCGACGTCCTGCAGCTGCAGCTTAGGCCCAAAACGGCACCACAGCCAGAACACCACTACTCCTCCGCAGAGGAAGAACTCCTCGATGCGACAGATGATATACCTTGAACAGAGGGTCTAATTGCTCCTCAACAGGGGGAAGACCTGACAGCCACAACTACTAAGGGGGACATCAAGGCTCTGATGAACAACATCAGAGCTTTTTTCAATGCTGACCTCAACATCATTAGAGAGGACATCACTATGGTGACGGCCAGAGTACAGGCCAATGAAGACAACATTTCCTCAATAGCTCGGAAGCAGACAAGCACCAACGAGTTGGTACACAAACTACAGGCATTTCACAGAGCCATACAGGCCAGAATCAACACCCTGGATGATGCACAGAGGCGCAACAACCTCAAAATGAAGGGGTATTGTCGAATCTGTTAATGAACATAAACTGCCTCATTTTCTTAGATGCTTAATGGCTATTCTTCTGCCCCAGCGCTCTGCGAAAGGTATTCAAGTTGACGGCTGCTTCAGGCTCACCAAGTCAAACAAGGCACTGGCTGGTGTCCCCCGAGATGTACTGGTATGTTTCCCACTACTTCAGGATAAGCTAGTGCTGCAGGAAGCAGTGAAAACCAGAACATCACTTCAATTTGAGGAGATGCAACTCCAGTTCCTGCAAGACTTATGACATTTCACCTTGGAATGGAGAAGGTCCTTCCAACAAGTTACGAAGACCCTAATCAGGAAGGTTCAAATTCAATAAAAAACTAGTTTTATTTATAACCAAGATAGTAAAACAAAAAGTATAGTATAAAACAACAATAAAACACTAATGTGGGGCCCCTCTCGAGTCCTGAAAGTTACTAGGGATGGTCGCACTCACCTACTCTCCAACGCAGAGGACTCTGCAGCGTTCCTCAAGGGACTGGGCTTACCTCAACTTTTCACAGTATTTAACAACCAGGCCACAGCTGGGATGTACGCAAGAAGGGAAGAAATCCCAGCCGCCCATGCAGTGATGGACTGACCATTCAACCAATTCCATTAGTTAAAGTTGCTTTAATGTTTTTTCCTTTCAATGTTTTAAGGTCTAGGTTATTTGTCTTTGCTCACCACTGTCCTACTATCTTACTATTCCTACTGGAATATATAAAAAATTTACCAATCTTAACCAGGTTCCTTACCATATACTGTAATACTCTTATGATTCAAATGCTAGGTCTCTAACTAAGACCCATGGGACTGTCTTTCATTTATTCGCATGTACACAACAGGAATGTTTTACTGTATACATTTTTTCTCTTGCCTGAAAAAATAATAAAATAAAATAAAACTTAAAAATGTTGTTGATAAAATTAAAACTGGAAATAAATAAATAAATCTGGGTGAGATAACTTTAAAAAGGTACCAAAATGGCCGCAACAATACTCCGTATAGGAGTTCCAAAATGACAACTGCCAGCTTGTGAAACATGGGAATAGGAATGAGGGAGGTTGAAGTAGTTGGTTGTCTGTTTGTTGTTGCGTGATATAAACAGATCCAGGTGGAAGGGACTCCTCCTGTTCTAGAGGCGCTGGAAGATCTGTGGGTCCAGTCTCCAGTCTCTGCTGTCTCGCCAATGGCGCGAGAACCAGTCCGCAGTCAGGTTCATTTCTCCTGGGAGATATTCCGCTACGAGGGAGATTTTGCGTGGCAGGCAGAAGTCGAAGATCTGTGTTGTTATCTCTGAGAGGAGTCGGGATCGTGCACCTCCCATGTGGTTGATGTAGCGAACTGCAGAGATGTTGTCCATCCGGAGGAGAATGCAACAGTTCGTCCTGTCTTTTGCCAGGATGCCAGGCTTCTCCCGCCAGGAGTTCCAGACAATTTATGTGAAGGTCGAGGTCCTGGGAAGTCCAGGCGCCGCCTGTCGACCTGCTTTCGCAAGTGGCGCGCCAGCCCTAGAGGCTGGCATCCGATTCCAGGACTGTGTCAGGTGTGCTCCCGAAGATGGCCCGGCCTTTCCATGCTTCCATGCTGTCCAACCACCATCTGAGTTCCTGCTTGACCTCCTCCGTTACAGGGATGGTTTGGTCGTAGGAAGGGTTTTGGCGAAGAAAGGACGTCTTCAGGCGTTGCATCACCCTGTAGTGGAGAGGTCCCGGTTAGATTGCCTGGATGGAAGTGGATAATAGGCCTACTATCCGCGCCAAGCTGCGGAGTTGAATGGAGTGGCAGCGAATGACCCTGCATAGTTCTTTTCTGATGGCCGTAATCTTCCAAGCTGGCAGTCGCAGAGTGCTGGACGTGGAGTCTATCTCAAAGCCCAAGAATTGTATGGTCTGGGCTGGAGATATCGCTGACTTCTGGTAGTTCAACACAAATCCTAGGGACATCAGGAATTGTATGGTATATTGTGTGTGTTGAGTCAGTCTGGACTTGTCTGAGCAAAACAGAAGCAGGTCGTCCAGGTAGATAATGCATCGAATGCCTTGTGTTCGTAGATGTGCAACTACTGGCTTCAGCAGCTTGGTGAAACACCATGGGGCTGAGCTGAGGCCGAATGGAAGGCATGTGAACTGCCATGGTAGGCCGTGCCACTGAAACCTGAGGAATTGTCGGCATGAGACGTGGATGGGTACTGACAGGTATGCGTCCTTGAGGTCCAGTCTTGTGAACCAGTCCCCGTCTTGAAGGAGGTCTCTTAGAAGGTGGATGCCTTCCATTTTAAAATGCATGTACATTACGTATGTGTTGAGCCTCCTCAGATTTAAAACAGGGCAGAAATCTCCTGATTTCTTTTTCACCAGAAATATATTGCTGAAGAAACCCCCTCCGTTGGGAGCGGATTCGATAGCTCCTTTCGTCAGCAGCTCTTGCAGTTCGCCATCTATGAGTTGGCGATCCTCCGTGGAGCACTGTATAGGGTGCAGAGGGGTAATCTGGCTTGGGAGGCCCACGAAATCGATGATGTAGTCTTGCACAGTCTGGTGGATCCATGCGTCCGCGGAGATGGTGGTCCAGTTCTGAAAAACAGAGGGATACGACCTGCAGTATGTGGGAAAAATGGTACCAGAGTCAAAGATCTGCTTACCTGTAGGGAAGCGTGCTCTGCCACGACCACATGGTCCTCTGCCTCGGTCGGCTCCTCTGGTGTAGGAGAAGGGTTGTCTGAAGCCCACTTCCGGGTAGAAGGGCTGAGGTCTTTGGGAACGGAGACCTGATGGCCAGAAGCGGCTGGCTGCACAGCACCTATGGTGGCCAGCCTGTCCAAAAACACCCTGACTGGGGTAGCCCCTGAAGACCCGTTTCATTGAAGACTGAGCTTTATTAAGGGACATGAATATATTAACATGTTTATTCAGTTCTGTGACAGAACCATCTGTCTGCTTGTATTTTAATTGCATTCGTCTGTTTGTCCCCCGTTCGTATGAATGGCTGGTTTCTATAGCCCAGCCATTCGAATGACTCTTTTTCCCGAACAAACCTGCCGAACGAACGGCCACCCAGAGAGAAGTGTGCTGCTGGTTAACCTATTGATCCCAATTAGAACGTTGTGGTTAACCGCAGACACTTCTCAATTAAACTGAATTCAGGGTGGTCGTCGTTCGTATGTCGACCACGAGGCAGCGGCCATTTTAAACCAAGCGAAAGCCCAGCGGTGTTTGGCTCTATTTCTATGGAACTAAAAACGGACACTTTTTCTGCCGAACACCGCTGAAACAATGGAACGCCTGGCTGCCTCCACGAAAGCATACGAACACCGGCCGTTCGGGAGATTTGGAGCATACGAAAAGACTTAACCCAGATAGCCTTCCCATGGAGTCATTCGTATACCGAAAGACTGTAAGAACTTTGACTCCATGGCGATTGAACTATGTGTGTGGGATCTGAGCGCTATTCGCTAATAATATGCACTCAGATCCAGGCTATCTGGGGATATGTGATACGAATGGGAAATGTTCGGTTTTTGTGAAGTTATATATTTTTATGTCTTTTATGATTTTATATTTAAGATGGCGACTGGCTTTGTCCTGGAGTTAATTGAGTTACTTGGTAATTAACTCCAGGGCAGAGGGGAGGGAATCATAATGCACTGTGGGTAAAATCTGTAACTGTGTGTCTGGAATG